AATGGCAGAATGTCATTTGCTTTCTGTGCCTCATGGGAGGGGACCAGGTTTTTGGCTCTGGTCCCCAGAAGGCCAAATGAACTCGTGCAACTGATGTGACTGGTAGAGTGGAGTAATCTCAGCGAGATAGCTACAGGGAACCATCATAGGCCCCCCCCCCAAAATAGTCTTTATTAATCATTTTACATTTTTGGGATCAGTAATCATATATATATTCTATAAAACTTTGACACCCAATGCTAGTGATCACTATTCTGTGCAACAGTTAAAATAAGGAAGGCAAAAACAAATTAAATTTTGTCTTATTTATATAAAGACCGGCTGAATTTTTGTGATCACTATGGTACGTGCACCATGAGTAATTATTATGTACTGTACTGTATTTGGAATTTGTATATTGAACTGTTCACCAATACTGTAATTTCTTTTTCCTGTACATAATAAATGAATTTCAGATGCTTTTTTTCTTCATACATTGTTCCAGGTAGTTAGATTATGATAAATTTGTACTTACCTAAATGTGCTTCGAGGGCCATTATGCCATTACGAAAATATCTCACTACACTATTATTCTGGTAAGTTAGGTAAACCAACCTGTACATGCATTACAATGATTGTAGTCCCTCGTGATTTTGATGCATTTTCAGATGAAATAAAATCACTCAAGCAACAAATCATCATCTCCCTATATGGTTCATTCGAGCGAGTTCACACTAATAATTTAAATATATTATATACATGGGTTGTAAATGTGCATATGTGAGTGAATACCGGAAGAGTTATGCTCATGGAACCCCATCTTCCCAATAACCTTTGTCATTTTGAAACTATTGATAGTTTTGCCATCTACCACCTCACTTAATTTGTTCCATACTTCTACAACTCTGTTTGCAAAAAGAGAACTTGTGTGTGCTTTTTTGGCACCTATATTTCCTTGGCTTGAATCTATGATGTCCTGTTTTCGAAGCTGCAGGATTAAAAAACTTCTCTGTTTATTATGTCAATTCATGTTCCTATTTTCAAGTAGTGATCATATCACCTCTTTTTCCTTCTAACCTGAAGCCTCGGTATGTTTAACACAAAACTCTGAAGGGTTTAACTCTGAAGTTTAACTCTGAAGTTTAACTCTGAAGTTTAACTCTGAAGGGGCCAGGTTCTGGCTCATGATCCCTGGTAGGTCTGAACTCCATAGCTAATTTCCAGGTCTAATATAAAACACATTAGCACGATAAGCTCCAGGGACCCGTAGGGGCTCCCCCACAGAAAAGAAAACATTTACATTAATAAAAATAAAGACTAGAAATTACATACCAGTCATTACATCGGAAGGTATGTAATGACTGGTATGTAATTTCTAGTTTTTATTTTTATTAATGTAAATGTTTTGTTTTATTAGCTAAGATACCAGTTTGTTATAGTTTAGTATGTTATTTTTTACGTTTCTTTGCTAGACTTTGCAAGTACTACAGAATTTTAAGTTGCTACGAGTGAATGTTTGTTTGTATCTGTGTGTAAAGTAAATTTCCTGCACATTTTTATGAGAGTAGCTTCCGGCACCACCTTCACACTCGACAGGGGATCTGGACTTGTGTGTTGTTGGGGGGGTGTGTGTGTGTGTGGACTCACACCACAGTGTGAGTCCACACTTTCATAGTCTTATCTTAGACACTCCTTCCTTGCCCGTCATGCAGTGCCTAGCTGAGCCCTTCCATATACATTGGCTTCTCTGTGTGTAGTAGGTCATGTCCCTTGTGTTCCAGATTGCTGCCTGTCTTCTTCGCTCCTCATCTTCCTTCTACACTCTTGTCCCTAGCTGTTAGTGCTTGGGCTCTTTTCAGGTCTTTTTTCTTGCGTTTTTCTGCTTTTTCTCATTCTCTCCTACACATTGTTGTGTGTTTTAGTATGTGCTTCTTGGCTCTACTAATGCTAGGTTGGTCTTTGTCCATGGTCAGTTCCCTACTTTTGCACTGCCCCAGTGTTCGGTTCTGGTCCTGAGTTTACTTCTTCCCCTTGTTTGGCACTTCCAGCTTCTGGGTTGCTCTGTATGCAGGTGGATGTAGCTTCCGTTCTTCTTCTCTTGCCCCTGCAGTTTCTTTTCGTTGGGCCGGGTGGTGCTAGGTTTCAGGTCCTGGCTTCGGCCTTTTTCTTTGTGTTCCTTTTCGGGCGGTGCGTTTTTGTTTTTGTGCTGTTCACGTCCTGTTTTTTTCTCCTCATACCTTCCGCGGTATTGTGTGCTTCATTCTGCCCTGCTGGAGCTGCATTCGCAGCCTCCCTCTGGTTGGCATTTTTTTTGCGTATTTGATATCCAGTCTCAGAATTGGGGTGTGGATGGCCGGCATGGGGGGTCTGGGGATCCCCCTTCCCCCTCCCAGGGATGGGGGAGCTGCGCAGACGGCGGTGCGGCAATGTGTGACGTCATACAGTACTCGTTTGCTCGCTTCTTTTTTCGGGAGTTCTATCCACTTGTTCGGCTTTTTGTAGCAATTTTAACCAGAATAGGGATTTGTTTTGGGATGCCTACCTTTCTGGGTGCCTAACCCGGTCAATGGCGGACATAGAATGCTTCCAACCACACGGGGTTTCTATAAGTCATTGCTCCTCGTGCCTCTGCGAGGGGGGCCAAGTTCTGGCTCGTGGTCCCCTGTAGACCCACAGAACTCCATACACATGACTGATGCCAAAGTCTGACATTAGCATATCAGCCTGGATAGCTCCAGGGAGCCTCCAGATCTCACCCAGAAAATGGCGTTTCATTCAACGCTGTTTTTTGTTTCGTTTTTTAATAAATTTAATATATGCATCTTGTTGAAATAGAAATAAGTAAATATTTAAATTTCAACTTTATATAGTATATAAATATATAAATTTATATATAAATATAAAATTAAAGACACTTGCATAAACCGCAAGCTGAATGCATCAGAAAGACTCATTCCCATGAAAGGTTCCAACCTTAGACTACCAAGAGCTTATAACCCACTGGAAAGTTGAGTATTCTAACTACATGACCACAAAAAGTTTGTCTTTAAAACTGAGGCTCGAGTTTTCTGTACTTTCCAGGGAGCAGACCTATTACACTGTCGAAGGGGGTTTGCAGCAGTCAAGTACATCGTATTCCCTGAGGCTATTAGCTAATCCCCTCGTGTAGCATGCCTCAGTTTCCTGGAAGTGTGAATGTCACTCGAACAATTCTGACTGCTATGAAAGAGCTTATCCCCTCCTCCTCTCCTCATGAAGCGAATATATACTCTCGTGTTAATGTCACAGACTCTTATCAATTAACTGTTTACATACACTGTAAATTTAATTCCATTCTCATTAATTCAATCATTGCATTTCAAAAATTTCTTTCTGCCTCTCTCCTCACTGTGTGCGCGCGTGTGGTGTGTGTGCGTGTGTGCACATGTGTGGTGTGTGCGCGTTTGTGTGGCGTGTGGTGTGTGCGTGTGGTGTGTGCGTGTGGTGTGTGCGTGTGGTGTGTGTGTGTGGTGTGTGCGTGTGCAGTGTGCGTGTGGTGTGTGCGTGTGGTGTGTGCATGCAGTGTGCACATGAGCAATAAATGCAGCATAGTATTAATTACTATAATTATATTTTGGTACACTAGTTTATAAAGATGTGCAATATTAAAGTTTAATATGCTTTAATGAAGTTTAAATCATGCATTATTCTAATTTCAAATAATGTATAGAGAAAGTTTTTTAATTAAACCAGATAAGTATGTTAAAATAATAATCTTAAGATTAAGAACACAAAATGGAACATTAAATCCGAGTTGAACATTTAAAGTAGCTATACAATTAATCATGAAAGCATTCTATGTGGCATAAGAACAGAAAAATAGATATAAGCTAATATATGTACTTGCAACATCAAGAGAGAAAGATAGAACAATTAATACTCGAGAAATAAATTACTGCACCTGAAAATGAATGTTTAACATTATGACCAAAATATCCAAGGTTTATTTAAATGGCATTCATAGCATGCAGGGATTACATGTGTACAAACTTGTGGGGCATGTTATAAATTTGTACACCTTTAAACACTTATTTGGTATATGCTATATATCTGGAAGCCTACACACACACACACACACTAGTGGGGTAGGAAATATGTTTTTGAGTACCTGTACCTGCTTGTGTGGCATGTGTATTGGAGAGCTTCTATATGATTTTTGAAGGCTAGTGTCTTTGAGTACAAGCCTTTGAATACAAAGATACTAATGGGGTAGCTTTGTATCCCAATGTGCAGTGTGGTCATGTTAGCTAGGGGACCAGCGGTCACGTGCTGCCATTTAGACGAGATTGCCTAAACAACAATACGATGTGATAAAACCTCTTCTATGAGCTCTTCAAGCACACGCACTACTACTGACTGAACCATATACCCGAGGAGCTCAGGGAGGCAGATTTGATCCCATTGTATACTTCAATACATTCATAGATATATATATATATCACATTCTTTTCATTTCACTGTGCAAGATTAATGCGTGGTGTGGTGGGTGGTGTGTACCCCACAATGGTGGTGTACATGACCTCAAGTGACATGTGACATGTGACCTCAAGTGATACATGTGTCAGGTGACCCTGAGTTACACACATGTTATGTAACCCTGTGTGACTCTCACACTGTCGACCCTTGTGACAAACTATGATTATTGGGAAAAGTTATAACCTAAAGTTATAAATTAACCTAAAAGTAACATGTTATTGGTATGGTTTCAAAAATGATATTAAAACATATTAAGCATCAGTTAAATATCATTATAGCAGAAGTAAAACATCGTCTTACATACGATTGGAAAAATTTTTAAATGCAGCCATGAGCACTTCGTGTCCAGCTCCAAAGTCAACTTGTTAGTAGAAATTAGATGACAATCCTGATCTAGATTAACGAATATAAAAAAAACTTCAAAAGCATAAAATATAAAAAAAGGAAATAAAACTATAGTAATGATAATAATGCTTAACGTTAACAAAACTAGTTAAAATGGTCACCTGTAGCTTTGGTGTACTTGTGGTAGCCGGAGGAAATATGTTCTCCTTGGTATTGTCGATATCTTCCGGTCTTCGGCGCAGACCACGTGCACGTGGGGTCAAGCCAAAGTGTGGAATACAGAAGAATTTCCCTCCAAACCTTCCCTCTCGATCGTAAATGTAATTCCCTATAATTTAAAGGGTGCTGGTATAGTTGTTAAGAGTAAAATATTTAATAAACTTCCACAGGACAATGTCAAAAATATAATAGAAATATAAAGGGGGCAACTAATCTATTACAAGACAATACAGAAATAAATTCTTATTTCTGAAGTCATAGGATGGCCATTTCCAACAATGGGATATATTAATTTTAATCCAGAAAGAGAAGCCAAATGGAATAGCCAAGAACACTTCATTAAAAGCATTTCTTCCTCTCCATATATACTCCACATCTTCTGCAGCACTTCACATATCATTCTCCACATTTATAATGGACTTGCACAGATAACCCAACCTACACATGAAATGAAAGTGAAAACATTTCAGCTCATTCTGGACCCCACCTTAAGTAGTGACAATATAATGGATGGGTCAAAATATCATCACTCATTACAGATGCGTGGATCTAGTTATTTGGTCAAGCTACGTTATTGTGATTTATTTTCTGCCTTGTACAGCTTTACGGTCTCTTGCATGCCTTCTCAACTTATCTTGTCAACTTATTCTCTCTCTACAAATACATCTGAATCCCTTTTATACTTACACCAAGAAGCACAGTATCATAGCAACTTACCAAGTCTAAGGTTAGCTGCACAATAGTCACACTTGAAGCACTGACGATGAAAGAACTTTCCCTCAGCACTTAGCCTTTCAACTAAATATACCCGATTGCCACAAAAATGGCAGAGGTCAGATCCAGAAGTAGGCAAGGGCACCATCGGTCTTGTAGGCTGAAAAATAATATTTTTTGCTAACACAAAAGGTAACACTCTTGCCAACACAAATGATGACAACATTCTTGCCAACACGAAAGATAATATTATTGTTAATATGAAAGATAATACTGTATTATTGTTAATATGAAAGATAATACTGTATTATTGTTAATATGAAAGATAATATTCTTGTTAATATGAAAAATATTTAATATGATAATATGAACATTATCTTTCATCTTAATATGAAATATTTAATTTTTGGAACATGAGATGACATGACAGGAAAGTGTAAAACATCAAAGCACTTTTTTAGTTAAAAACACTTGAACACAATTTTTCATCGTCATTTAACAGGCAAAGTTCTTCGCAATAACTACTCCAAGAAAGAGATAGAGGTATGATGTAATACATATTTTATAATCAACTCCATAAAGAAAATGAAAAGGATACAAAATAAAAAGACCAAGAATATATAATTGTTCATTCTCATTATCAGGGACTGGAAGCCAATGTATATACACTTTAGGCTTGTATTCAGGTCCCAGGCTCCAAGTTAAAATACTGGCCTTCTCTCGGATGCAACCGCACAACAGTTGCCAAGCTCCTGGGTACCTACTTACTGCTAGGTTAACAGAGGCATTAGGTGAAAGAGAACATGACCAACCATTTCTGTCCTACCTGGGAATCAAACCTGGGATCCCTCAACTGTGAGTTGAGAACAGAGCCAACTACCATGCAATTACTGTACCTAGGTTATTTATCATTTAGTTTGGATTAGGGTATACATGCCCATAATTATTTGTTTTTCCAGCAATTATAATTAATGCTGCATGTAACTGGATATTTAAAAACAATTGACAATTTTTCAGAAAGACTGCTTGATCAGCCAGGTTGTAGTAGTTATGAAACTGATGGTTGTCTGTGGCAAACGTGAGGTAGTCAGAATGATGAGACAAAAATGGTCTTAGGCCAAGCTGCAGGAGAAGCAGCTGTGGCTCCCATCCTCATCTCACAATCAAGGATCTTGTGTTTCATCTCTGGGCACGACAAAAAGGGTTAGGTGCATTTACTTTCACCTGATAATCCAACCCATCATCCTGTTTAGATAAACTATTTTGTAACTATGTGCACCATAGGAGGCCTGGTCGACGACCGGGCCGCGGGGACGCTAAGCCCCGGAAGCACCTCAAGGTAACCATATCCATATAACCTCAAGGTAGCCAGGACCCTGTTTGACCGCCATAATCCCCGTGCCCGAATGTCAGCTCAAGACATATTGCCGAAGACAGCAGCAAGAGCAGCAAACTTACAAACGTCATGGGCACGGGGATAGACCACAGGCTGGCTTGATTAATAACCCTGCGGACAACCCGAAAGACCTGAACCTGCGAACAGGGAAAAAGGGAAACCGGATCAACCCAAAGCGTGTCCCCCGGACACAGAAGCCGTGGGGCACAGATAACGGCAGAGGGCCGCAACTAGACACAACACGTGGTGGATCCCCGGCCTGACAAACCAAGCATCAACACTGCAAACAGTATTGTTGGGGGGAGAAAGTTTAATGCGTGTGACCTTGAATGAGTGAGGGAGCCGCCAGCTGACTGTGCGTATAGCGACGACTCTTAGTGCATGAACTAACTATATCAACTTAGTTGTACAGTTGTGTTGAACAAAACATGTAGATACTTATACATAACGTCTGTATATTGTGAATAAAGTATAAAACAGGATGGTAGGAGGAGAAAGTGGGCGAGTGAGGCGTTGTTGAGGGAGGGAGTGGCAACGAGTGGCTGGCTGGTGTGTGGCGGTCACTCCTCGTTGCTTTCCGACTCATAATACCAACTTAGTGGTTCGTTATGGTGACCAAAACATGCAGATACTTATATATAACCTGTGTATAGAGTGTAATAACAGCAAAACTATTTGTTTATTGTTTTATGAACATAATAATTGAATTATTAATATGCACACCATACTTTTGAGTATAACGATGATTCACCTCTTTTATTACATAAATATATCACACCACACACTATTGAATATTACTGCAAAAAAAAAATAAGAAAAAATAAATCAGAGACATTTAAATAATTACAGTGGTACCTCGGAATGCGATTGTCCCTGTATGCGAGGTTTTCGGAAGGCGAGGTGTATTTACTCCAAAAATTTGTCTCGGAAGGCGATGGTTACTTCGGGAGGCGAGTTTGGACGCGAGTTTGTTGATACGCGTACAGCCGACCTAGCGCGTGGTGGTTCGGCGATCGTCGACCCTCCGCCCCGCCACCCCTCAGTTTATTATTGTCTCGCGCTCAGTGACTACCCCCACATCAATTCTTCTCGCGGATTTTCAGTGTTTTGTTGGATTTTTGGTGATTTGTCTATACAATTTGTTATTATATATCTCACCATGGGTCCCAAGAAAGCCAGTGGTAAGGATAAAGGCCAGAAAGCTCATGTGAGGATGACAATAGAGGAGAAACAAGAGATCATTCGGAAGCATGAGAACGGTACACGTGTTGTTGAACTTTGTAGGCAGTACAACAAAGCCACATCAACAATATGCACTATACTTAAGAAGAAAAATAAGATTATGGGTGCTAAAGTGGCAAAAGGAGTAAGAACATTAATGGCACAAAGACCAGAAATACTTGAAGTGGAAAAGTTGTTATTAATTTGGATACACGACAAGGAGTTGAGGGTGATAGTGTTTCGGAGGCCATTATTTGTGAGAAAGCCAGGGTGTTGCACGAAGACCTTCTAAAGAATACCCCTGCAACGAGTGATGCAGATAAGAAAGAGTTTAAGGCAAGCAGGGGCTGGTTTGAAAAATTTAGAAAGAGAAGTGGTATCCATAGTGTTACAAGGCATGGGGTTATGTGATGTGATTATGGAAAGGGACTCCCCTTCCAAACAGTAACTCCTCTCCTCCTTCCCCCTCCTCACCATCTTCCATACGCCTACAGCACTCGACAGCAAGGTAAGTAATAACTGGAACACAGTTTTGTAGGTTTATTTAGATGAATTAGGTAAATTAGGTATAAAAATTTAGTTTGATGTGGGGTTTTTGGGGTAGTCAGGAACGGATTAATTCATTTCCCTTTATTTCTTATGGGGAAATTAACTTCGGAATGCGAGTTTTCGGAAGGCGAGGCGTCTCCAGGAACGGATTAAACTCTTATTCTGAGGTATGCCTGTAGGTGATAATATCTTTGTGACAACTGTCACCTGTCAGCTCGGGTGACGCTGACCGGCTCTGACGACCACTCTGTCAACGCCCACTTTTTGCCAGACTTCCTCGGTCTATTGTGCCCAAAATATGTCACCTATGATTTTTTTTTCCCATGCTCAGGGAACACAAATTAACATTTTTAGAAGACGAAATAATTTTTTAGAATATTTTCTTCTTGCGCACAGGGGTGTAAATGTCCTCAGGACCCCCTTAGCGGTGAAAGGGTTATGGAAACTTTTGTGGGTTGCATCCTGGGGAAGGTCAGTAGTCTGTCCCCAACAATGGAAATTATTATAAAGGTAATATCTCCACATCTAGCTAGCAATTGTTATAATTCCATTGTTAGCAGAAAATAATTACAAAATGTAAATATTTAACAAAATATCAGTAAACCACCTACCTGTCTCGCAATTAAAACCTTCTCAGGTTCCTTCTTCTCTAGCTTGGAAGACAGTTGAGATGCAAGGTTAGAGACTTTGTTTTGTCCACGCATTCCAGTCTCTAAAGTTGACCCTTCACGCAGCTTCATTTCCAACCTCTTTAAAGATGTGTCTATATCTCTATATTTGGCAATAGTCTCTTCATCTTCTCCATTTTCTCTTAATCGTCTTTCTATGTTGTGAAACTGTAATAATAAAAATATAAATAATAGAACAAGTATGAATCAATAAGCAGATTTACTTTTATTTATATATTTATATAGTTTGACAAAGTTGACTACCATCTGATATTAACAAAATTATACAAAGTTTACCCTAGCCATCAGTAACATTAAAAATATATTTAACCTCCAGATAGTCCTCATTCGGCTCTTGCATCACACATATGGAAATACTTGAAAGGCAAGTCCCAAATACTGTATGAACAACAACAAAACCTACATAGTGAGAGGAATGATAGGAAGGGCAAAATAGCCAAAGTGAAGAGTAGCAATGCCATAAGCACAATCAGAGCACACTGTATTGATCAGGGGTCAACAGCTCTTCATCTTCATCCTCCCACTAAACATAAGAAATATTGCCTGCATTTATTATACCAAATTTTTATACTACGTATTTCTAATGGGCTGCTTAGTTTCTTCCCATGGATAGATTCTCCCTTTCGGCTAGTCCTATTCTGGAGGGGTGGCAATTGTTAGTGTTGGTCTAGGCACACACACTCATTCCTTTGGTCTCTCTCCTCACCAGTGTGATTAGGCCTACATTCTTGCTGTGTCCGATTATCTTCCATCTGCCATGGTCTCACTTCATGTTCCCTTCCAACCCCATTTCCTGTCCTTTCCATTTCCCTTCACATCTTTCCTCTATTTCTCTCAACTTCCAATCTTTCTTCCTTGCTCATGTCCCAGTCAATGAACACCTGGGTGATCCCTGATCCCTTAATCTTTTCTTTTCTGCCTGTATATACTTTACCAGATGACGTCTTTGAAAGGTAACCTTCACTGGTCTTTGTCGTCCATGTTGGATCCTCCCTATCCTACACAAATGTTCTATTTCTTGTGATGCCCTACTTACCTGCACTTTATAATGGTAAAGTACAGTATATTTAATTCATTATTCTAATGCTTGAGGTTTTATCAATGATCTATATTCTAGTCAAGTGTTTTTTTCCTTGACTAATCAGAAAGCCAAGAGCTTTCAACTACCTGTAGTGATGCTTCAGCAGTTGGCAATTAAAACTAACCTTGCCAAGCTCATATAAAGTAATTTTAGTGTTGTGTTACATTAGGTTAGATTAGGCAAGTGAAGCCCTACATCAATGAAGCAGACAAACTCCAACAAGTTTAAGCTGAAATTTCTCGTCACTAAATTGTTTGAATGCTGTAAGTACTGTACTAGCGTGTGAAAATCCTCCCCTAACCATGTATAGTGAGTGTGTGTGTGTGAAAATACAAATTATGTTGGTTGTGGTACAAAATATTGCGAATATGTTCATTTTTGGCCTTTTCTCAGTAAGAATTCCTGCTAATCTGGAAATCCAGTTAACTCGGTGAGGGATGGGCCCTATATAATACGAATTAACAAGAAAAGATAGCATATACACTTTAATTATTTGTTGTAGACAGAAAGACCAATGCCTTTTGATAGTGAAGGTTTAGGAACTGCATGACTTACCTTGTCATCATACGCATCTCTATTCCACTTGGGAACTTTCTCCTTTTCTCCTTGTGCATCTATACCAAACTTATTCTCATGCATCTTCTTCTCTATAGCAACCATATTCCAGTCAGATTTCTCTATCTTACCAATGGCACGAATGAGGTCCTAGGAAAAACGAGAAAAATGTTTGTCAGTAGTGCTTTTGGGTATGCTTGAATTAAGCAGTGAATTACCTGTGAATGGTTTCCCATTGTTTGGGGACTGGAAGCCTGTAAAGTTTATCGTGGTCCCCCTGGCCAATGACCAGCCATTTTCCAGGATGCAACCCAAACCAGTCTATAAATTCCCAGGTGACTATATACTGCTAGGTGAAATGACACCACAGATGTAAGGAAAAGTGCTCCATGGCTCGCAATGTCTGGGACTCAAATCCAGGACCAATCAGTTGTGAACCAACTACATTAACCACTGCACTACTGTACAAGGAAAATATTATGCCTACTGTGATCCTTCTCACTACATACTGTTGTGTGATTTAATGCTTTGTTAGTATCACCACACAGGCAGTCAGCCCATGCTAATTATAATCAAAGATAACAATTTTCTTCTAAACATCTCACACTAAACATTTACCTTGCTATGCTATGGGATTTCATAAATGTTGTGATGATGCATTACAGTACTGTATATGAGGTGGTAATAATTCTAATATACAGTGAAATACAGAGGAACCTCAGTATTCAGACTTAATTGGTTCCTAAAGGTCGGTTGAGTGCCAAACAATTCTTTTCCCCATTAGAAATAATGTAAATTGGACCAATCCATTCCAAATAACAAAAATACATATATTAATACAAAAAATAAATGAAATAAATACAAATACTCTATACCTTTATCTGCACTCAGGAGAGTTGATTGCATATGTGAAAGGTGGTGAGGCAGAGGAAAAGAGATGGTATTCTTCAGCAGGGGAGTTCCCTACCATTATCATAGCTGTGTCAGTGATATTTTTTCAAGGAAACTTTACTTTCCCCCCCACCCTCCTTTTGAACATATTTCTTTTATTAGAGAACCAGATTAGGTATACCAAACTCAGTACCAAGAGCAAACATGCACGCGCCACTTTCATATTTCACGACCAGCAGGCGCTTCCAACAGCCTGGTTGACCAGTCCAGCAACTAGGGGAGGCCTGGTCGAAGACCGGGCCGCGGGGACGCTAAGCCCTGGAAGCACCTCAAGGTAACCTCAAGGTAACCTATTCTTTTTTCATATCTATTGTCATTTTAACTAATTTTCTTTTTATTTGGCTGCTATCACTAACTTGAACTAACTTTCTTAGAAGAAATGGTTACTTATTTACACTAACAATATAAAAAATATCAAAGAAAACATGAGAAAGTGTAAAGAAGTCTAGTGGTGTTGTACACTGAATGACAGCTACTGGAAGACTGACTCATCTCGGACACATGTTTACATTTGACTGCCAAACAGTCAATCTACCGAACATTAACACAGCGGGAACTGCACCTCACGACGCTGGAAGACAGAAGAGCTCAGGAAAACATGATCACCACATACAAGATTCTCAGGGGAATTGACAGGGTAGACATAGATGGATTATTTAATACGGGTGGTACACAGGTGGTACAAGGAGACACAGGTGGAAGCCGCGTACCCAAATGAGCCACAGAGACATTAGAAAGAACTTTTTCAGTGTCAGTAGTTAGTAAATGGAATGCACTAGGCAGTGATGTGGCGAAGGCTGACTCCATACACAGTTTCAAATGTAGATATGAGCCCAGTAGGCTCAGGAATCTGTACACTAGTCGATTGACAGTTGAGAGGCGGGACCAAAGAGCCAAAGCTCAACCACCGCAAGCACAACTAGGTGAGTACAGCGTTTGAGTGCCGAATTGTTTGAGTTGGAAGCTGTTTGAGTGTCGAGGTTCCTCTGTACCACTGTACTGGTATCAGTATCTTTCCCAATGACCTCGGTCATACTGAACTACCATAATTCCTACCTTTTTTAAACAGTTTAGGCATTTCTAAGACCTACTGTGTCCTCAGGACACTACAGTCAGGCAGGTAACCTTTGACACCATTTCCACAGAGATAAAATTCCTGCAGGGTAAATGAGAATACCAAACTGTTACTAAATTAAAGCTCAATCTATCCTGGACCTTCTGACCAAAGTGCTTTCAGCAGAATTGGCCTCAGTTATGCCCTTCCAGGATTGCCTAAACATATTTCCAGTAGCCAGATAGCATCTTTAATAATCCTGCGGGGACAGCATAAGTTTCCAGCAACACCAGTGTCAAGATTGTCACCTGCCTGACTGCCATAGACTTTGTCCAGGAGGACATTGTGGATCTTGTTACATGTAGGGTGAGACTGAATGCAATACTCAGAAAAGCTGAACATTGGCAACTTGAAATATGACTCCAAGGATATATACAGTAATTAGATTAACACTTTACCTAGTGGAAAGAAACAAGTAACATAGCTAGAATGGCTAATCAAACATTGAGGCCATGAGATGGGATTGACCTCATATTCCTGGACTTTACAGGCACACACACTGCTGACTCAACTACGATGAGCTCAGAAAGTATCGTAACCAAAAGTTCTACCCAACTTAGACCCAAGTCCAACAGGTACACATTCTGGTCAAGATACTTTTGAGCTTGTCATGTTTTTGTTGAAAGAATCAATCCCAATGAATGGCATCAATATTTTCTCATTCTTGTGGCTTCAATGTATTAGAATAGCTTAAGGAATTTCTCAGGTATTTAAACTAAGATTTTTTGAAAGATTAATTTGTTGTAATATGATCACATTGCAAATAGGGTAACTTAAGCATTACCTTGGGTTTCTTGTCCAATGCATGAGTGCTGGAGTTTGCAGTAAACTTAGCTTCCAGATCCTTCACCTTATCATTAAAATCCTCAGATTGATCCACTTGTACCCGTTTCATATAGTCTTCGGCTGCTGCTCTCTCCTGAGATGGACAAAGTTTGACTTTAATATTATAGCAAAATATATATATTTATATATATATATAATATTTACATAAAGTAAATTTATATCCAAAATTCACCAAATACATGACATACATTAATAAATTATAATTCATTAGGATAACAGACCTTAGGTTATAAAAATTTATATTATTAAAACTGAAGAAACACTCGCTCTAGAATATGTAATAATTCATGACAATATATTAGTATTAACTACAAAATGTTAAGCTAATACTAAAATTGCACTTGCAAATAATTTAAACACAAAATTATTGTTGCATCATAAGCATAAACACACCTAAATTAAAGGATTTCCCATACTCAATCTGGAATATCTAATAAACACACTGTAAACAAATTACATATGCTGGCTCTTGTACACCTTACAACAGCCAGCATTACACACATTTACAAGCCACTGAAAGTTTAAAATGATCATGAAAAATTCAAAAGTGAAGTAACAAAGTGGTGACTGTTAATCTACTGGTCTAAAAACAATCTCTAGCACAAGCGGCAAGTACTTCATCCTTTTTAATCGTGTCAGATTAAAGCACAGTAGTTAGTGCAGTTCATATGCCCACAAATGAAGAGGCATGTGCTAGAAATCAATCTTGTTTACCAATATGCACATACAGGCAAGAACTGATAAAAGGTTGACAAATTGCCCGAGGGGCAGACAAATGCTGTTAAGAGTTCAATCCCCTAATAAAAGATGAAGATGGGGAAAGATGACAGGATACAAGAAGGAACTTATACCATAAGGAAAATGCAATTTCATGAATTGGAGAGAGAAAACTTTGAAGCACATAGGAAGTTGGGAATCATAAGAATAGTATTTAAAAATCAAAATCATGGACTCCTTCAAGAATGGTTTACACAGCACATGTTTGAGCAGTACTAGAATACACATCGGCATAAAATCCACATCTCTTGAGTCACAAAAACATGGCTGTGTGTGTGCAGACAAATCCTCCTTTCTGAAAAGGCCACAAAGTTGTCCCTAAGACAATGTTCAGCTCCTCCAAAGCCCCTCAATCACTTGGGCTGGACCGTAGAGCGACAGTCTAGCTTCATGCAGGTTGGTGTTCAATCTTCGACCATCCAAGTGGTTGGGCACTATTCCTTCCCCCCCCATGTCATCCCAAATCCTTATCCTGACCCATTCAAGTGCTATATAGTTGTAATGGCTTGGTGCTTTTTCCTGATAATTCCTATCTCTTCCCCCAAAGGATAGGACCTCTAGAGAAGTTCATTCATTTGTACTTAACACTTTTGTCCACTGCCAACGTTGGAGGGTGGGGGAAGGGGGGGGGTGTTCAAGTGTATATACATAAACCTGAACCTTCTGGAGATCATTCCAGGATGGATATTTTTTCACCAGTGATTTCCTTCACCCCTATAACCTGATGTGGATATATCAAATTATCTCTGCTGTGCTGGGAGTGACGACATAAACCAGTTGTGTCTAGTCCTGTCCTTGGGAAGAGCTGGACATTGCATAAAGGAGGCAGCAAATAACAGTTCAGAAAACAAATTGTACAAGTATGGAAGTTAGCAAGAAAGTTAGTACCTAAATTGAAGGGAATTAAAAGGACAAAGATAAAAGGATAGGTTAAGAACAGTCAATCTAATGCCTTAAGAGGAGAGAAAGGAGTACAGTATATTATCATTAAGCACAAAATAAGACACCTAGACAAAGAATCTCTATAAATTGAGAGAAAAAAAATGGATATCAGTGGAAGTTGAAAATGCAAATAAGAAAGACATAACACTTGCTGACCCATACTCCAAATGGGTCAGCAATGTAATGCACTGAAATAAGAGGTCATGAAAGCCAAATCCATTCACAACATCAAGAATATATCTGAAAATGCACCAGGCACAAAGGCCAGGCACCAGGCACAAAGGCCAGGTACCAGGCACAAAGGCCAGGCACCAGGCACAAAGGCCAGGCACCAGGCACAAAGACCAGGCACCAGGCACAAAGGCCAGGTACCAGGCACAAAGGCCAGGCACCAGGCACAAAGGCCAGGCACCAGGCACAAAGACCAGGCACCAGGCACAAAGGCCAGGCACCAACCACAAAGGCGTTACATATAGTGACCATTACACTCGTGTATGCAACTAAGTGCACACACACACATTTTCCATAATTATATATTGTAAAGATAAAGTACTCACCTTATAACATAATGTCAATCACATACGATAAAAACCCACACTTACGTATTTGTGAATTTTATGTAAAGTGTTACACCAAGTCTTTTACACTCTCCTGAGTGCTTTGTCAAGGTCTGAGTATGTGGTTAGGATGAGACATCTCGACGACTAATGGCATTAGTCGTTGAAATGCAAGTCTCGTCCTAACCACATCTCAGGCCTTAACAAAGCAAGTGCGAAAGACTTGGTGTAAAACTTTACATAAATTCACAAATACGTAAGTGTGGGTTTTTATTCCATGTTATTATGTCTGTGAGAAGACATTACCATTTTTAATCAATCGCATAATTGTGATTCAAGAAAATATTACTAAAATTAATACAAAACTAAATCTGAACATTTACTGTTGTAGTAACTGTTAGTAAGGCTAAGTGAAACACCATCCAATTAATGAACACTACTGAATGAAACACAATTCACATGCTGTATTCGCTACTCTTACAGGTCGATGATTCAGCTTCCTTTCTAAATCCTGTGCCTTTTCTCGCATTGTTTTAACACAGTGTTTCCTATATTCAGTTATGCCCCAGTCTTCATCTCTGTTATAAGACTGTTGGATGGAGGAAGGATCATTGATCCCGCACTGCAACATCTGCATTGAGCGGATGAAGCGCACATTGTCTAACTCTCGCCTTTCCCTCAGCTTTCTCATTTGTTCCAGTCGGTTGGAAAGTATTTCTTCACGTCGCTGATGAGACTCGATATCATCCTAGTCAACCATGAAGCAAAGACTTTTCTTATAAATATTTTAAGTAATCATACCATTTTTCATGTAACCCAAGCATAATAACCCCCTACTTTATTAAGGCTTTCCCACCCAATTTAGAGCAACCCTCAACTTTACTGTAGGAACTCAGTGACTACAAGTATTCATTAAAAATCATTACAATTCATGAACTAACATACGCATGTCTAGTCATGCAATTCCACAGACAGTACCATTTTGTTTCGGAAGACAGGGCATGTCTTTTGCCCACTGAAAACCAAACATATTTTATTTGCATGCACAAAATCTTAAGTATTCCATCATCCCCCAAAAGAACTTTAAAATCCCTTTCAATAAATGTGCAATGGAACATACTAAAAGTTGCTCTTCCAGAACAATATTATTGAATAGGAGCATCTTGTACACAAGCAAATACAGTATACTGTATTGAACATTCACACAACAGATGTGGTTGCCATACAATGGTTGCCATAAATACATGCTTAATCACTACAACCAATTTCCAGCTACCTACTTTTATAAGACCTTTTACACTTGCTGATGATGCCAAACTACTAGGATAGACAAGAAACTTTAACGATTACCATGCCCTTAACCCTTGTGTTGCTAAGGGCTATTTGGCCATTGTCACCCACAGGCGCATAACAAAAAAAAAATTCTTCTAAACCTGTTAATTTGTGTTCCCTGATCATGGGAAAAATAATAAAAAAATCGTAAGTGGCATATTTTGTCCGCTATAGGGCGGCGAAGTGGCAAAAAAAAGAGGCACCGACTCAGCATGCGACCGAGGCGGTCTGTTCAGTCCCAGCTGTCAGGCAGGAGTGGCCACAAAGAGATAATTACCTAATTATTTCAATGTCTCTGATTGATTTTTCTTTTTTTTTTGCTGTAATATTATTCAATAGTGTACAGTGTGATATATTTATATAATAAAATGTGTGAATCATCCCTGTACTCAAAATTATGGTGTGCATATTATTGATTCAATTATTGTGTTTATAAAACAATAAACAAATACTTTGCTGGTTATTACACTATATACACAGGTTATATATACGTATCTGCATGTTTTGTTCACCATAACGAACCACTAAGTTGATATTACGAGTCAAAAAGCAGCGAGGTGTGGCCACCACATCTGCCAGTCAACCTCTCACCACCACTCCCTCAATGACTCCTGACTTGCCCACATCTTCCTCCCACCATACTGTTTTTGCTTTTATTCACTATATACAGACTTTATATATAAGTACAGTATCTGCATGTTTTAATCACCATAGCGAACAACTAAGCTGGCATAGTGAGTCCAGACAGTAAAAGGTGGTCACACAGAGTCGACAGAGAACGCTACCTCCCTCCCCACCAAGATTACTCCTCCCACTACAGCGCTAGTTATCACAACAATCCTGCTATTATCAGAATCCTGGTCATTTTTATCACAGTCAGGGTCTTATGTAATACTATCATCGCTAAATAATAGTATGTACATATATATTATGGCAATTTTTAGGCGATGCTGTGGTCACAAGCTGAACAGCAGTGCTGTGAGCTCATGCTGTGTGCATCAGCCTTGGTGGCTCACTCAGTACTGAGGACCTCACACCCGGGAATGTAGCCCACAAATTTTGTTTAAAATGGGGTCTGTTTACAAGAGCCCTGATGAAGGTGAGGTGAACCCTGTGTGCCCGCAGCCCGTTTAAATCTTGCGTAGTACTCCAACATGTCATCTGATGTGTTGCACATGTTTGTGCAAGTTACTCAACACGTCACATGACGTGTTGCGCAGTTTAAAGGTTAAAGATGATCTGGACAATGCATGAAACAACACTTGGCTGATGGAATTTAATGTGAATAAATGCCACATTATGAAATGTGGAATTGGAGAAAATAAACCAACCACAACATACAAATTTTGTGAAAAAGCTTTTTAATTCTGGTAAATGGCTTAGTAATTAATAACAAAAATTTTAAGAGTACCATTTCATTTGTCCATTACAAATTAAAATAAATTTGATATATTCATAATTATTTCCTAATTTGTCTTTCTTTATATTTGTTCACCATTTTCCTTATATAAATTACAGTATAAAGTAAGAATAACATAACCTGAAACACAGGTGTTTTAACTAAAGCATGAATAACAAGAAATAACATACCTGAGGTGAAGAAACTTTGTCACTTTTTCTCTTTTTGGTTCTTTTAAGAGACTCCAATCTCTTATCTGTAGCCGACACCCCAGTGTCATCTATCAACCGACAAGTAATGCGCCCATCGTCCCTGGGAAAAATTAGAGTATTGACTTAATGGAAACAGTCATTAGTGTTAGGTGTAAATTAAAAAACCAGTGTTGAATGTAATGAAACTCCATTTTCTGGACAAGTTCCGGAGGCTCCCCGGAGCTATCCAGGCTGGATAGATATGTATATCTGTCTGGGATCAGTCAATGCATGGAGTTCTTGCCTACCGGGGACCACGAGCCAGAACCTGGCCCCCTCTAGAGAGGCACGAGGAGCAATGGCCTATAGAGATCACTCTGTGGTTGGGAGCATTCTATGTCTGCCATTGACCGGGACAGGCACCCAGAAAGGTAGGCGCCCCAAAACAAACCTCCTATTCTGCTGAAATTATTGTGACGAAAAGCCGAACATGTGGACAGAACTCCCCAAACGAAAATTAGCAAACAAGCATGACGTCATCATGTCACCGCGCCGCTGTCTGCGCAACCCCCCCTACCCAGGAGGGGGTAGGGGGAGCCCCAGACCCATCTGCCAGCGACCCAACCTACAGTTCTTAGGCTGGATGTCAAAAAGCACGAAAAACACCGTCGACCAGAGGGAGGGAGGGATGCCAGGGAGCCTCCGGGACTCATCCAGGAAATGGCGTTTCATTACATTCAACGCTGGTTTTCTGGGGGAAGCCCCGTTGGCTCCCAGGAGCTAACTAGCCAAAGATAAGGAAAAAACAGGGACTTATCCAGGAGGCGCTTCGTCCTCACTCCTCAATGCGAAGTTGAGACAACTGGCTGCAACCACCGACCCAAGGCAACGCAGGCCCTACCTGGCCCTGGAACATTCACCAAGTAGCGAGCAGCCAGGACCTTGTTCGACCTCCAAAAATCCCGCGCCTGAATGTCAACCCAAGACATGCTGCCAAAGACGACAGCCAAAGCCGCAAACTTACGAACGTCGTGGACACGGGGATAAACCGCAGGCTGGCTAGACTTAATAGCCCTGCAGACAACTTGAGAGACCTGAGTCCGGGAACAGGGAAGAAGGGAAACCGTGTCAATCCAAACCGCATCCATGGCCACCAAAGCCGTGGCGTGCAAATAACGGCGGAGCCGCAACCGGACACAACACATGATGCACTCCCAGCCTGACCAACCAAGCATCAACACCAAGCAGCCATTTCATTCTTCGCCAGAAAAGAAGGAGACGGCTGCAACCAAACCAAACGACCACCAGGACCGAAGGAGCAGAAACCCCTGCACAGGGGGAGAGCATGAAGCTCCCCCACCCGACCCCCAGAAGCCAATGCCAATAGGAAGAGAGCTTTAGAAAAACAATGCCGAAAGGAAGGGGCCACAACAAACTGAGGAGAAGAGAGAAACGAGAGCACCTGGTCCAAAGACCAGGACGGCTCAGGAGGCGCATGAGCAGGCCGGAGGTGAAACAACGCCTGAGAAAGCTTGCGGAACGGGGCAGAAGTAACATAAACACCGAAAGCCAGCTGAAGCGGCTCTGCCAGCTCCGCACGATACGAGGTGACAGTATTGGGTATAAGATGATGGTTCCGAAACAACCAAGAGAGAAAGGACAGAACAACCCTAGCAGAGAGTGACGAACACCTACGCAGTGATGGGAAGAACCGGAAGGACCGCCAGAAAACTTCATACTGCCGTCGAGACCAACAACGACGCCACCTGCACACCATACAATTGATGATAAACCAGAGTCAAAAACTCCAGACTCGAGGAGAAGACCGAACCAGCTTCTTACCTGGCTGAACCGATCCGCTGAAAGAGGCAGAGCCACCTGAAGACCCTCAGGTTCGGGCACCGAGCAAGCAGCGCCTGAAACCAAGGCTGGGCTGGCCATCACAGAGCCAGAAGAACAACCCGACCCTGGTAAGTCTCCAACAGAGCCAGGACCTGGAGCAACAGCTGAACTGGGGGAAAGAGGTACAGGTAACCCCACCTCGCCCAGTCCTGCCTGAAGGCGTCTACCCCGACGACCTCCCAGTTGGGGAAGGGCACCACGTATACCGGGAGATGCCTCGACCACGCCGATGCAAAGAGATCCTTGTCCGGAATCCCGAACGTCTGGCACAGCCAACTGAAGGAGGCGGCGTCGACCATCCATTCCATGGAAAGGGAAATGAAACAAGACAGGCCATCCGCCAGGACGTTGGACACCCCCCGGACATGAACCGCCAGGAGAGCCAAACCCCGAGAACTCAGCAGACGTGTCACCCGAAGTGACCAGCCCCAAAGAGCCTAGGACCGCATCGAACCCCCCTCGGTTCAGGCAATGAACCACCGGGGAGCAGACCGAATGCAGCCGGATCGTCGATCTGCGAGCGACTCGAACCCTCCGGAGTGACATCCACACTGCCACAAACTCCTGGACCATGCTGTGAGGCCGACGGAAGGACGGACCCCACCACCCCTGGCTGGCCTGGTGAGCGGTGGTCACAAAACCCCAGCCAAGAGACAACGTGTTTGTGTACACATCAAGCGAGGGTTCGGGTAGGCGCCAAGGCACTGAACCCCAAAAAATCCGAAGTGGAAGCCGGCGATGCAGCAACCAATGCAAAGCCCCTGGAGGTCGAACCCAACGATCACGAGAGAGGTGGAAGGGCTGTCCCCGAAGGAATCAGAACAGCCGACGAAGCCGCACCCGACCCAGCGGGTAGATCATCATAGTAAAGTTCAGGCTCCTGCACAAACTCTCAAACAACAGCCGCGTGACCTGGGAACCCCTCAGAAACAGGCGCAGGCAGGACCGCAGGCGAAGCAGAGCCACCGGAGGCAGAGACAAGGAAGCGGTGCGAGCGTCCCAAACCAGACCCAGCCAAGACCAAACCTGTGAGGGAACCAGATGGGACTTCCTCCAGTTCACCAAGAACCCGAACCCGGCGAGCTGGGAAACAACCAATTCCCTGGTGAGCAGACACACAGACTGGCTGGGAGCCCAAACCAGCCGGTCGTTGAGGTAGGCCAGAACACGAACACCTAACAGACGCAGGCGGGACACCACGACCCGAGTAAGGAGTGTGAAAACGGGAGGTGCCAGATTCAACCCAAAGGAAAGACAACGAAAGCAGTAACCCTGACGCCCCACAACAAAACCGAGCCAGTCCCTGAACCTTGGGAGAACAGGGACGTGCCAGTACACATCCTTGAGATCCAGGGACACCATCCAAGCGCCCGGCTCCAACAGAAGACGGACCTGGGAGAGAGTAGTCATCCTACTCTCAATAAATAGGCAATAAACCCACAGGTTCAGACGGGACAAGTCCAGAATGAACTGGAGGTCTGTGCAGTCCCGTTTCGGGACCCGAAACAGGCGGGAAACCCACCAGAGGGAAGCCGTCATTTCGACCACACCCAAGTAAACTCACTCCGAGATGACCCGACAGCGCAGGAGAAGAGGCCTGCCCCGCCAGCCCCGAACCCCCCCAAGGGAGGAGGAGCCACCCAATGCCACCACAGGCCGCACAAAATGACCCAAAAAGCCCATGAATCGTGGGACCAGGCGCTAGCAAACAGGGCGAGCCCCCCGCCCCCCCCCCCATCACCCCGTTAATGGGACGAACCGCGAAAGAGCCGACACACCTTGCGAGAACCCAAACGGCGAAGAGGGCGATCTCTGCGCCGACCAGAAACAACCGGAACCATAGGCTGAGCCTGCCCCGAATCTGGCACCAGTGGCCTACCATGATAAAAAGATCCCCCGAGCCCTTCTTCCCTGGCATGACCCATCCGGGAAGCCCCCCCACGAGCCCCCCGGGGCAACAACAACTCAGACATAGGCCGACAACTAACCGATGCCACTTGTAGGTACTGCACCACAGCAGACTCAGCAAACAGCAAACGGACAAAAAGACGAAGACAACCGAATAGCCAGGGGCCCAAGCAGAATCTAAGGAAGAAACCAGCACCGCTTGCCGACACGCGAGGCGAGAAGCATAGAACCGCGAAACCGCATCATGCAGGAGTGGTGCGAAGAGCTTCAACAAAGCAGATGACGCCTGCACCGCAGAAGGCAGCGCACCGGACCCGGCAGTGGCCCAGAGCGCCCCCACATCCAACTCAAGCCAGTACAAGGAACGCTCAAGGAGGGAAAAGAAATGCAGGGCCGACGCAAGCAGGCCACGAGGACGCAAATCCTCCACAATCAAGGCAGCTGAAAGGATAGGAAAGGAACCTGCACATGAAGTTGCAAGACACAAACATTCCGTGGAAGCGCAGGGCGAACAAACAAGTATCGAGATGCTGACAGAACGTGTGCCAAACCTCCAATGAGAAAAGAGGACAGTCTGCCAACCAGGACGACTCCAGAACTTCATAACGAACCCAGTACGAACTAGAAGAGCCATACACGAAGGAACACGGATCTATCACGAAGGCATAATCCGGGTCGCGCAGGAGGTAAGCCGCCAAGGCCTCCCGCACCTCAGAAGACGAGATGCGAGAAGCCGGAAACCTCCGGAAAGACAGAACTGAAGAACCCGCAGGATCACGGAACCGAACCCGGGGTGGGGTGGACACCAAATCCAACTCGTACGCGGAGAGGGCAAAAGAGAACTCCTCTCCTTGTAAGACCAAGCCTCGCTCGGAGGGCAGAAAAACCCAGGTGGGGTCCAACGGGGCCCAAGGCCCCCAAGCCAACCCCTCCCCAACCTCGAGAACCTCACCCTGAGGACCCGGGGCCGAGCCGGCTTCCAAACCCCCCCACCTCCAAAGAAAAGGCGGGAGGGAGCTGCTGAAAAAGCAGGAACGATGGGGGCTCACTGGCCAGACCCAGAAGCTCCAGCAGAAGGACCAGGCTCGAATGCCTCCACTGCAACCCCAGAAGGGGACACTCCAAGACCGCCCGAGTCTCAACACCAATTAGACCCTGCCCCGGAAACCCCTCAGACGCTTCAGAGGCGGAAGCAAGGGTGGGGGGGGAGGGGAACCCGAAGGAACTACAGAAGGGAAAGGACAAGGAGGGGCGGAAGGAACCAGAGCCGAAGCTACTCCCACCCCCAAGTCCGGGTCCCTATAACCAAAACGAGGCAGTCTTGGGGCATCCGAGGCCGCAGCCAACCAAGCGTGTTGCAGCAACCTAAATCTAGCATGCAACGCCTTAGCTTCCTGCACCCGCATATCATTATCAGTGGCTTGGGTGAACTGGAGTACATACAGACAGCATACATTGCACGACTCCGGGTCAAAACGATCATTGACCCAACAGGCAGCATGACAGAGGCAAAACCGGTGAGTGTCACCCCTGAGACAAGGGAACAGAGCAACCTTCAAACTTGCAAGATGCGAGAGGGGACTCAGGGGTTACATATTGGACCACATAGCCCCCGTGGGGTTTCCCAGGACCCTTAGCTTTGGTAACACGCTGAGGGAAGCCCAGGCAGGGTACTGCGAACCGGCACCCAAGTCTACCAAACAAACTCCTAAAGCTGAACCCCCGGGACACATCCACTCACAGGGGGCCAAGCGAGGAGGACCACCCACACAATGGGAGAGATATATATACCCCAAGAATAGCGATGGGGGATGACAGCGGCAGACCCCGCTCACCAGGCAGAAAACAAAAACAAAAGAAAAACCCCGCAAGAGGACAGCGTACCCAGGCGGAACAGAGCCGGCCGGCCGCTGTTAATGGTGAAAACTAGCTGTGCAGAACCCTGCGCCCCGGCCAGTGACAAAAACTACCCCCTACCCAGAGACAAACAAGGGTAAGAAAAAACTCCAGCTGACCCCACGGGCGGCCAAATACCGAGCAGTAAATGGCACAGTGGAGGTAGATCCCAAGGTGACTTGTAGAAGGTGGCCCCAAGGGCAGTACTTACAGGGCACCTAGGGAAGGAGACCCTAGGCACATGCAGCTCGAGTACCGTGGAATATCACTCCCGGCTCACGCACCACCTGAAGAGACAGCCCACACCACAGGGCACTGAACTGCAACGAAAAACTGGAGCCAGAGGTATGACCGCACCTCCCATCAGCCAAGAACTGTAGGTTGGGTTGCCGGCGGATGGGTCTAGGGCTTCCCCTTTCCCCTCCCGGGGAGGGGGGGTTGCGCAGACAGCGGCGCAGTGACATGATGACATCATGCTAGTTTGCCAATTTTTGTTTGGGGAGTTCTGTCCACCTGTTCGGCTTCCGGTTGCAATAATTTTACCAGAATAGGAGTTTGTTTTGGGGCGCCTACCTTTCTGGGTGCCTGTTTCGGTCGACGGCAGACATAGAATGCTCCCAACCATATGTCATAGATGAATGAATGTCATAGATTTAAACTAGCTAAACACAGATGCCAAAGAAATATAAGAAAATTCACTTTCGCAAACAGAGTGGTAGATGGTTGGAACAAGTTAGGTGAGAAGGTGGTGGAGGCCAAGACCGTCAGTAGTTTCAAAGTGTTATATGACAAAGAGTGCTGGGAAGACGGGACACCACGAGCGTAGCTCTCATCCTGTAACTACACTTAGGTAATTACCACAGGGGCGGGTCTCTGTAGGCCATTCCTCCTCGTGCCTTTCTAGAGGGGGCTAGGTTCTGGTTTGTGGTCCCCGGTAGGCAAGAACTCCATGCATTGACTGATACCAGACAGATATATATATATCTATCCAGCCTGAATAGCTCCGGAGAGCCCCCAGAAAAAATTAAAAAAGTATTCTAATTCTATAGTACGGATCGTTACCGACAAAAGTAAAGAGACTTCCCTCTTTCTGTATACACTGCATTTAATTTTTTTTTTTTTTTGCCTACATTCATGATGTGGTCCCACTTTGGTCTCCTCCATTTTCTCTACCTTCAAACTTACATCTACTAAATAGTATTTTTGTATACTTAATAATTTCTCTCTCTTCCTTGTGCTTTCTTTCCTTCTAATTTCACACCTGTATGTGCTTACTGAGAACAATCTTCAGTTATTTCAGACCTGACAGTCTAAATAGCAAAGGCTTCTTTCATTATAGACAAATAATTATAATACTTTACAGTATATCAATTTGTTTAATACATTTCAGGTACTTCTGAAGAAGTCTTTGACACAATGTGCATGGCTGCCTCACATAAAGGAAGTTGCCAAATAGAACAAGACACAAGATCTGGACAAATAAATGGTATTTTATTACTTTCAATACTGGATTTCTGGGAGGACTTTCTCGGTGGTTTCCCGAGCTCCCCACCTGGTAAGTTGAGGGAGCCACCAGGTAAGCCCCTTATAGAAATTCAGCATTGAATGAAAATCCTCTTTCTTATGGGTTCCCCAGAGGCTCCCTGACTTACCCACCTGTTAGGCTCAGGAACCAACAGAGGGGGACCCTCCCAGGATATGCAGCCTTCCTGCTCAGTACTGTACCTGTATATATAGTCAAGACAAACATTCTTTAACTAACCTTTTCCTTGTTTCTCTTTCTAATGACATTCTTTTCTTGGAAGCTGGTGTACCCTGAGACGTGCTTGCCGTTTTGTTGGCGAGATTCTTGAGAATGTTGACATGTGGTGTGGAGCGTTGTGTGAGTGTGACCTGCTTCTCCACCTCCATTTCCCCATCATCCTAAGAATGATTTCACCATTAGTATTGCCTGGCATTTAAAGAGATAACACTATTATACACACAATGACCATTTTTAATAATTAGTATTATGATCTAAATACAACAAAACCCTCACTAGAAACACATGACATGAAAAGATACAATATTAATAAAACATTGATACTTTTAAGACAAGCCATCTATCTGATAGATGTATACTACCATATATATTATTCAAGCATTGTCGGCATGCCATTTTTACGACAAATTTCATAATTTTGTTCAAATAGGCTCTAAATTAGAGGAATTTGAAGGGTGATGAGGTGCAGGTTTATTTTCACTGGAAAATGCTCCTGCACATCGTGATGTAAACAGTTAATATCAAGCGATGATGAAACAGTGTTGCTCTTCCACCAGATACGACAACTGTGATCTATCTTATGAAGGCTAATTAGGATAAGGGTGCCCTTCTGTGATGGAAATAAACAATTTGTCCATTTTCCTTCGTGTTCCTCTTTTCTTCCTTCATTTTACTTTACAGTACTGCATACTTAACCCTTAGACAGCGGCTATGGAGAAATGGTCAAATCCACCTATGCACAAGATAATAATAATTCAGCAAATTATTTTTCATTAGAGAATTATTAATTTGTATGCAAAATGTAAGAAAAACGCAAAAATAAGTGGATATTTATTATTTCACTGGGTGGAGGCGCTGTGCATGGCGGCGTCTGACACTTGTCAATGCCTGCTGCTCGACTTTGCTGATGCTTCATGTTTTATCCTTCGATGTTTCACTGATAGTTTTATCATTTATTTTTCTATATTTACATCCACAGAGCTTTTATACCAATATGTGCATCATACATGTAAAACCCAGATAATAATTGTTTAAATCATCATATGATGATGACTGCATTCCCCAAGTAACATTCATGACGATATCCGCATTTATACCATGAAATGGTAGCTGGATTTTTTAATGGGTCAAGGTAAACTCCACTACATCCACATAGACTTATTACTATATATCCATATTTGCATCATACATGTAAAACCCAGACAATAATTTTAAAATTTTCATATGATGTTAACCGCATTACCGTGTGAATCAACAATTGATGATAACCGCTGTGTAAGGGTTAAAACTCACCGTTACATGAAATTCATTTTACATAATATTTCTTATTGTAAATATGTGCAGAACAGGTCCAGTCCCATACATTATGATTTATATATATGGTTATAATGTAAAACTAAATACATTTTAAATTATTGTGGTTAAAGTTAATACAGTACACTGTACTAATCTTCTGTATTTTAATATTGTTGACAATAAGACCACACACCGTCAAAAACACAATTCGCAAAACAAACTGAAATAAATTTAGCTCACCATCTTTGGATATTTGAAGTGGGGAATTTCGCCCCGGAAGACATCATAGATCTGAGATAGATAGGATATCATGCTCAACTTGTCTGGCACGTCACATTCTGCCATCTCAGCACCCGTCATAACCTAGAAAAAATAATTCTTGACAAACAGAAGCCAGAAATCATACTAGGGAGTAAGAAACTCTACAAATGTGAACACAATGTATATCTGCCACCATACATTTATGTACAACTATAAGTATGAGAAAACACTGTAGCTAAATCAAGCTTGCATATCATAATTTCTCTGGCAAAAACACTCCCAACTGGACCAGTATATCAAGGATTTTCTTATACATATATCTTGTATGAAAAATATATATTATACTGCCTATGAATAAGAAATTTAGGATCACAGAATTAGAACGCTCTTCAAGCATTTTTCCCTAGTAACACCACCTAGCAACGCTAGCCTGGACAGCTTCTTCTTGTGGTTGTTTTAGATTCAGGTACTCGGAACAAAAGTTCCAAGCAGCACAGGCTATGTTGAGCCCATAGTGGACTTGATCCTAGATAGCAATGTCACTAATTATTATTCAATTTCTATGACTTTACTCTGCAGAGTATGAATTGTTTATATTACCTTATTTTAACATTTTAAGCAGTGCTTTAATTTAAAGTTAGTTTGCTAATCATATTATATAAACCTATTTACTAATAAATTGGTATTTAAAATTAAGTAACCAGCAACCCTGGTTATCACAAGTCGAGCTTGGCCTCAGGCCGGGCTCAGGGAGTAGAACACACAGAACGCTCTCCAGGAATGCTCCAGATAACCACCCCCTCCTGGGAAGGGGGGTTACCTGGAGCATCCTCCCCCCCCCACCCCTCGCACGACACCCGGGAGGAGGGAAGGGCAACCAAGTTCCTTGCCTGGCACAATTAGAATTTACACTTCAACGCTCTGATCATTATTTTCACCTAGCTGGAGAGACCGTAACTGAGCCATTGGATGACATATAAGAATCTCCAGAATGCTGTCAGATGCCAAGCTCTCATGGTTCATAAAATCAAAATATTTGCCCAGCTCCAGAGAAAGTTCAATGAGTCTAGCATTATTAGACTCTGAGCATCCATGTTCCTTTTCAGTTAACAGGGCACTTATGACTGTTTTAATTTATTGAGTGGTACCATATTAATAAATAAATCGTAAGTCATTAACCATTTCCACCATCCAGTAAGTATGATTACATTACGGGGTTTAACCCCAAACACATGTACATAAATTTTCATATCTTGTAACTTGTGAATGGATATACAGTAATTTAATATAATTAAGAAATTATTAACTTTAGTTACTAGTTGTTTCCAGACAACTAGGCTGATTTATTTTGTCATTTTACAACTTTGGTCCAACAAAGCTTAATCATTGAATCAGTGTCCTGCTGTGCTGGATACAAATTTATAGCATTAATCACATTGTGGGTTCTCCTCAGGTATGGTGGAAGACTGCACTTGAAACTAAATACTACTTGCTTCTACAAAATTAGGATACAATAGAGGACGTTGTCAGAAATCAACTAAGCTACACATTATTGATTCTCTTGTTAAATTATTCATAACAAATTCATATTCGACTTAGCATTTACAAGCGAGTAATTGAATCATATTACAAGGTTTAGTTTGTCATACAATTCTTTAAGTTCTCTGCCCCCGTGCCTGTTGAATTAACTTGTCTGGTCGATAGTTTCTGACCTTAAGTGTGGTCAACTTTACAGATTTGGCAAGAGAGAACAGGTGTATTTAAATATCTTTATCCACAATTGTATTTTCTTACAAACTATACCGACTAACGGGGGGGGGGGCTATTGAGTCTAGGTAAAGAGTTGAAGAATTTAATAATATACAACATGTAATTGTGATTTCATTGTGCATATAAACATGTATATTTCAGTACACACATGAGATACTTACAGGAGGGATCCCGAAGTCACGTTCCAGGATATCATATGCCAGCTGGTTATTTTGAGCAATATCTTCTGGCTGCAAGGCTTCAAAGTCAATCAAGTCCGGACGGTAGCGGTGAATAATAGCACACAGTGCCCGACCATCCTAGAAATTTTTTAATTCTTTATACACAGTACAATACAATCTAGTACCATTGAGGCCCAAATTCAAGCATCTGACAATCCAAGAGAATGAAATGTTATTCACACTATTATGGATTTCATCTTATAGTAATGTACTTTAAGTTATATATAAAAAAAAATATTACTCAAATTATAAGTATTTTCCTAAAATATATCTACCATAGGATATAATATATCCTGGAGTAGATGATATATAGTGCTAATATATCACAATATACAGTGACCAAGAGAGTGACAAGAAAAAATCCCTCACCTATTTCTTCCAGGCTGGGGACACCTCCCCATTCAATTTATATGGGAAATGAAATAGTTATAACTTAACACAAAATGTATTTATACTTTAAAATACAATTAGGTAAACGAATTGTACTAAAGAAGAATTATACAAGGTTTAAACTTATTCATTAACCACATACCTTAAAGGAGGTGGTCATATTGTCTACGTGAACAGAGTCATAGAGGGCAACTTGCTTCTTGCACCACACCAGCAAAGTATCAGGATGTATAAAAGAATCTGCAAAGAGTAATTTTCAGCATAAATGAACTTGCTTTTTAGATTTCCATGATTTAATATAACATTTGTAGAATATATTATATTTATTAAAGGCGTGCTGTATCTTGGGTATGCACCCGACCTCCGAAGAGCTGGACGAGGCCTTCGAACACTGATTGTTATATAAGTGTGTGTTCTCTGTAAGCTGTAGCAATGCAATAAAATTAAATAAAACAAAATTAATAAAAAATAATAGGGGTGGTAGGAGAGGAAAAGATTAAAGTGTTCAGTGAGAATCCACAAGGTCTTCTCTGAACACTCTTTATTTTCTTCTTCGAGGCTGTGGGTCTCTTCAATTGCACCAGTGGTGGTACCCCTAAATATTTATTAATTTATTTAATATTTATTTAAATATTTATATATATATATATATTAAATTATATTATATATATATATATATATATATATATATATATATATATATATATATATATATATATATATATATATATATATATATATATATATATATATATATGTATATATGTATATGTATATGTCGTACCTAGTAGCCAGAACTCACTTCTCAGCCTACTATGCAAGGCCCGATTTGCCTAATAAGCCAAGTTCTACTGAATTAATATATTTTCTCTAATTTTTTTCTTATGAAATGATAAAGCTACCCATTTCATTATGTATGAGGTCAAATTTTTTTTATTGGAGTTAAAGTTAACGTAGATATATGACCGAACCTAACCAACCCTACCTAACCTAACCTAACCTATCTTTATAGGTTAGGTTAGGTTAGGTGACCGAAAACGTTAGGTTAGGTTAGGTTAGGTAGGTTAGGTAGTCGAAAAACAATAATTTCATGAAAACTTGGCTTATTAGGCAAATCGGGCCTTGCATAGTAGGCTGAGAAGTGAGTTCTGGCTACTAGGTACGACATATATATGTATATATTTATATGTAAATATATATATGTATATATATATATATATATATATATATATATATATATATATATATATATATATATATATATATATATATATATATATATATATATATATATATATATATATACATACACATATACACACATATACATATGTATGTTTTAAAATGAGTTAGCAAATCCAAGTTGACTTTAAACAAATCAAAATGCAGTAAGTACTGTAAATACTAAAGTTTTAACAAGGAATAAGGATTCAAGGCTGAGTAGTATAATATCATAAATTAATTTGTGTTACACAGCACAGCAGTAGAAACACCCACACAGTAACACACATTCCTTAGTAAGGTGGGTTTTCACTCAAGTATTGAAAGCACTAGCAACTGTAAATTAGAATATGCAGCATTTCAAACAATTATTGTCCATGGCAACACTATCCACAATTACATTTCTCATAGACATATCCCTTTACTGTGATTTCCTTGTGTATTAAGGTCTAAAGTAATAAAATAGCAACAAAAACGTCCAGGATCATGCACACCAAGAAGGTTAGGATTAATAATATTAATTAGGTTCACTTTAAACCCTTAAACTGCTGAATTAAATTTTACTTTGCACTTATCAAATTCAATGGTAACGTCTCTCTAAATGCACCTTCATTAGCAGACCTTAATTTGACTCGATGCTACTACTTCACAGTCTATAAGCATGGCTACAGAGGAAGGCAAATACAGTACCAAAAAATGCTCAAAAGCATAGTTATCAGCCTAATGAATACAAAAATAAAATTGGTTCGCTATTCACAAAACGTGCAAAACCAGCAACAAATTGCATATAAATATTACTGCCCAAGAGCTATGCAGGAAACTACTACTACTATATAAACTATGAAAGGGAAAAGAGCCACTTTATATATCTAACATCACTCTCACATGAATTACATTTACTTTCCATTATGCAGAAATAGTACAAGTACATAAATGGCATATCTTTCCCTTGCATAATATTTGTGATGCTAAATAAAGTAATGAAGCCCAATATATGTATATTCTAGGTTAAATTGATGAATTTATTTACCCTTTACTGAGGGGCACCAGGAAGAGAGAAAAACAAAACATTATTATTTAAACATACTACTGTATTCCTGAAGCTGAAACATTACCCCTGAGAAGCACACAATTGATCACTCTGGCCATTCATTTCTTAGCTCAGGACCAATGAGCTCAAGAGACTAGACTCCCACACTAGCTCATTAAGTACAACCCTCAAGTAAATATAGCATTAGTATAAACATAACTTTACAATTCAGAGAGTAATACTATTAAATTACAATACTGTACTTTACAAATTTAGATTATGCGATCCTTGAATTTATGAATACTCGTTTGGAACTTTGCCACAACTAACAACCCATTTTCTGTGTAAGTTTATGTACAAGATGTGAAAGAAAAAGTCATTGGAGACAAAAGCTAGAAATTTTTACAATTTCCTAGAGTTGGAGTTTTGCTCTTAAAATAGTGACTATCTTCATACACGTATTTAATATTTTATTAAATAATTAATTTATTTTATTATTTAAATATTTTATTTATTATTTAAAGATTTTATTTATTATTTAAATATTTTATTTAATTAAATTTAATATAACACTGAACAAACACTGAACAGACATTAATCCAGACTTAATTAAAAGGGTTCAATGTAGTGCACACAAGCAACAAAATAGGACAAAAAAGAAAGACATCGTTTCTACCTATTGGGGCAATAATAAATTCAGCTGGAAAAAAAAAATTATCATCAATAATTGGGGAGGACCTTTAACCCTTAACATGCTCGGGGTCTAATATCCTGCCATCCGCACAGGTGCATGTCATTTTGAAAAAAAAAAAAATTTTTTTTTTTGCTAATCTGTTAAGTTCTGTTCACTGATCACGGGAAAAATAAAAAAAAAAATCTATTGTACTTACTTTTGTTGCAATAGAGCCGAGAAGCTCTGTGATGACGTCACAATCTGCATGTTCGCTCATGCAGTACACACCCGGGATGTGTTGCGCGCGGTCCTCAAACAGCCAGAATTGCCACAAATATATTTTCGCGCTATTTATTTACAATGTCTAAGCGCATTTTATCTAATTTTTTTTCACTAATTGTGTTTCAAATACTGTTTGAACATATTTTGTATCAATAATTGTTGCATATTTGAGTATACACAGGCGCACACAAATGTTTTCAATTACGGCAATATAATATGTCATTACAGTCTATTATATTGTATGTTCTGCTTATATTTGTATATATTTACACACACGCACACGCTATCTGCTTATATGTTTACATATTTACACACTCGCACACGCTATACACACTTTGAAGCACACTTAGAAGATTTCTAGACTGTGGTAGTCATTGAAGCAGTCGACAGCACATAATGGGATACCACACGTTTCACACCATGTTTGCACAAGCTTCCGTTTCTTGTCTCTACGTGTCGTTGTTTTACACACCAAGCAATCACGTTGGGCTATTGCACGCTTCACACCAGGTGGCAAATACTTAAGTTTGTGTGCTAGGAAGCCTTCAGTGTGAGCGAGGCGTGGAGTACCAGCATGCTGCAACAGTGGGTTTATGATGGGCCGCTGAATACCTGGGACATCTTTTGCAAACTTTCCTAATAACTGTATTGCAGCATCAAATACAAAGTCACGGAAAGTGGGCTTACGTCCAGTTCTCACAAGGTACATGTTGAAACAGTTCAGCATGCTCATGTCCACAAGATGGAAGAACACTTTTTTCGTCCACCTACATGTCTTCCGCACACACTCTGCAGTGCCAATCATCATGTCTGATTTATCAATCAACCGCATGTTGATATTATAGTCTAAAACACAGTCTGGCTTATATAGTGGTGCGTTTGTTTTATGGCTCACTTTCCCACTGTTCACCATTGTTCCATCATGAATTGTTGTCAACAAGTTCACCTCTCTTTTGTCTTTCCACCGAACTGACAGAATGTTATCACTTTTCCTTCTCTGACACTCACCAACTGCAACGTCGTTGTCAAACACAGGCATTTCCCTTCGTTGTGGCTTTACTGTACCAACCAATCCGGTTCTATTTTCTAGCAAGAACCGAGCTAGCAAGGGACTTGTACAGTAATTATCTGTGTATAAAATGTGTCCCTTGTTCATCCACGGAGCCATGATGGTCTTCACTACACTCCCCGAGAATCCATGTTCGTCGTTACCGGGAATGTCTACATCACTAGCCGAGTACAGAATCATGTGTAACACGTATCCTGTCTCACAATCACAAAGAACAAAAAATTTCAGGCCAAATCGGTTTCGTTTTGAGGGAATGTACTGTTTGAATGGAACACGTCCCTTGAAAAGTATGAGAGATTCATCAACCACCAGCTTCTGTGCTGGTACGTAAAAATCTCTGAATTTTCCAATAACATCGTTCATGTAGTGCCTCACTCGCCACAGTCTATCATCAGGTGTTCGGTCCTGAACACTTCCAAAATGTAGACACCTGAGGAGTATCTGAAACCTGTTTCGTGACATATATTTCCCGAATAAAGGTGTTGGTATTGTCTTGTCCTTGCTCCAATAGTCATTTATTGCATGTTTGTGACAGTGCTTCATCAACAAACAGAGTGCCAAAAACACATACATTTCCGCCACTGTGGTATTTTTCCAACGCTGCAGTCGTGAAAATTCTGTGATTTCCCTCTCAATCAGGTAAGCAGCATGCAGGTTCGTTTGGTGTACAATGTATTCCATGAGTGGTTCATCATAGAATGCTGTAAAATATTCCATCTCAGCCATGTCCTCACCTTGATTAGGGAAAAGGTTTGTAATCCCTACATCTTTATCGTCAAAGTGACGAATATTAGGAATAAAATCGTCACCATCACTCCACTCAAGTACACCAGGTGTCCTGCGAGATGCAGAGGAAAGACGGCGAGGAAGCGATGCATACCGGCGACCAGGAGCTGAATACCGTCTGCGAGAAGCACGGCGGCTACGTGCACGTGAGGTGGGTGCACGTGAGGTGGGTGCACGTGAACACGAGGGTCTTGGTCCCTCATGTGGTGCCATGCGGTGGCGCTTGGCCGGGCGAGATGCTGCTGACGCGACAATTTCTCGCCCAGTTACACCACTGGTACCAGCCACAGGCTCAATAAAACTTTGATCTGAGTCACCTCCCTCTGACTCGTCACCCTCAAACAGAAAATATCCACAGGAACTGTGAGGTCGTGGTAGAATTGGGGTAGAAAATGGGCGAGGAGGCATGGGAGAGCGTATAGGCCTCGCCATGGCATGGCGGTCATTCTCACTTTCACTGCTGCTGCTACTATCACCCGACAACTGTGTATAATCCTCATCGTTGTCTGAATCGTCAAACACACTTTCTTCACCTTCAGAGAATAATTCGTGGGCTATTTGCTCTGGGGTGAGGGACTGAGTGGTGCGTGCCCGTGAGGCGTTTGACCGTGCGCTCGCCATGGTGACTCTCGCTAAACTGAGGCCTCCCATGCCATCGGATCGTGAGCGGGATTTTTTTTCAAAATGGCCGCTGTTTACTAGAGCCCCTGGGCAGCGTATGGGACCCCCAGCTACACCGCGGGCCATTCAAATCGTGCGCGGTACCCATACACTTCATATGAAGTGAAGCGCAGTTGACTGGTAAAACGATTTACACTTCATATGAAGTGATGCGCACTTTAAGGGTTAACAAGCCACTAACTTCCTGTCCCCAATGAAACCAATAGAGATGGTGGTTCTCAAGTAAATTCAGATAAATAATGTTTGCTCCAAGAGTCTCCTCTGGAACCTTTACTGCCTCCAATTCCCCAGCAGACGTTTCCGACTTCCATGGAAATTTTTACATATTTCCAGTTTCCTTGGAAAGCTCCTGTGAAGGAGACTTCAACAACTCATCAACATCTTCATCCAGATCAAAACAAGTTTCTTAACTAGCTCCTCGATGTTCTGTCACTTTCATCTAATCACCTAGCCCCTTAAAACTATTGATGAATGTATGGCAAATCTTTTTCCAACTTTATACAATGACTGCTTCACATTCTTCACACTCTTAAATGCTATAACTTCTCTGAAATATTTGGGAGGTAATTTTTCCATCTACTGATGGAAAAAATCAACTGCCTAGGAAAAAATACTGAATGATCCTATAACTTCCTCAGTCCATTAATTACAACAACAAGGTTGTATTTGAAGGCATAAATACAACCTTGATAAATATGGCAAATTTTTTAAAGAATAATTTAGTGAATAAAAATTAACATAATCCTCAATACAAATTACCTCTTCTTTTCCTCTTCTTTGGTAGTTCGTCAGAATTGACTAGGTGAGGATTGGTAACCTCCTCAAGGTGGGCAGCGTCATCAGTGTCAAAAAGGGAGCGTACTTGAAAGGGTAGCACTGCGCGTACATTAATTGTGGGATATCTTGTTGCTGGATCCAGTGTATATGAAGAGTGATCTGTACATGATGTTAGAAATCATTAGTTATAATACAAAACCAGTACAGAAGCATAAAGAAAAAACTTAACCTTTGTAATAAATTATTTAAATAGATGTGATATTCACCGCCTCTTTATTGATACAGTATCTTTAAAACCTTGTGTGATATTTCTAAACATCATTATGAATGATGTTTACTACTAAATATTGCATTACTAAATATTATGTTCTAGTTTGAAAGCATCATTATAGCCTATTATTTACTTCCAGCACCTATTGCACCAAATGTGCTCAATCTGTTGTCTAACTGAGAAGTATGCTGGCATCTAGCAGCAACTAGATGCTGTTTATCTTGCTTAGTCTGTTTTCACATAAGCATGATTTCATCATTACGATAATAGAAATTCCTTCTATGAATTGATACATTTCTTTTGTAATATTTCAAATTAGTAAAATTAATCAAAATTTTATATAGCATTCAAGTATCTTTTGATCCCAATCACTACACCATGTTTCCCACATGAGAAATGGCCATATGAAGAAACAATCTTAAATATTCACAATATTTTTTTCCATGTTATAAAATACATGAAACATTCATCAAAACACTCCTAACACTTGTTTGTCATTCGTACAAATGAAGCATGTTGCCTCTTGCATGTTTCCAGAATATAAAATGTCTTAAAATATGATTGCCACAGCAGTCTTACACAGCTGATATGAGTATAAACTATGAAAAAGGCACAAAATAAAACTAAATTAATAAATACGCAGTGCAGAAATGAGGTAAAGGAGCAGACCTCTAAGTGGCGAGGCAAGCTAAGTGAAGCCAGAGAAGAGTGCTTAATGAGGAGGGAACACTTATTATACTTCCTTAAGAAAGCTCTTTCTTCAGAAATTATGTCAACCATTTTACTGTAACCATCCAACAGATAATAAAAGCCTTCACCAAATTGATTTCTAAATGTATTTTAATACTGTACATATATTTGTATGGATGAAAAGCCACTTTTCACCTGCAAGCATATATTCTCTGTCATTGGTAGACATTGATCCAGTACAAGCCTCTTATACAGCTGTTCAAGATGCTCTAACTTAACATTATAAGAGGTTTCTGCAGAGCAATAGACGTTTCTGACACAGGTGCCAGGAACAGTAAAGGGGTCTGCATTCACCATCTACGATATTCATTAATGTTACAATCTAGGAGCTGCTAGCATAAAAAGTTCATTGTTAAATTATTTAACAAAAAAAAAATAAAAGCAATTCTTGATATTAAAGTTTTCAAAAATCAATTGGAGGAAATCTGGAGGAATTTGAAGGATTTCAAAGAGGTGGATCTAGATATGCAGTACTCTCACTTAGCTCCCCCGTTCCATTTATAGCTACGACAAAATTATTTTCAAAAACATTAGGATCCCCTGAGGCTTGAGTCACTTTAGGGGTACTGATAAGCTGCCAGACTCTTAACAAATACAGTGAGTAAAGCTCGGGAAACTACAGAGGCAACCTTGCTCAGAAAATAATAATAAATCAGAACTCTTCTTTTGTCAATGTCTGTCTCACTGTTCTAATGGTAAACTACACATTGTTTTCCAATATGAATATATCAATATATATATATATATATTGTATATATTTTTACCCTTTAAATTTTATGCTAAATATTGTTGAAAGAGTTATCTTGAGATGATTTCGGGGCTTAGCATCCCCCGCAGCCCAGTCCTCGACCAGGTCTCCTTTTTGTTACACACCCCCAGGAAGCAGCCCATAGCAGCTGTCTAATTTCCAGGTACCTATTTACTGCTAGGTGAACAGAGTATCAGGGTGAAAGAAACTCTGCCCATTTGTTTCTGCCTCCACCGGGGATCAAACCCAGAACCTTGGGACTATGAATCCCATGAGCTGTCCACTCGGCCATCAGGCCCCTTCAGTGGGCAAGGGTAGTTGTCTAAAAAAAAAAGTAAGTTTTTTTACATGGCTAATGCATAAAGAAATCACATTAAAATGATGTGTCAGTGAGAAAATCAGTAAAAGCCAAGAGGATTATTCAAACCTATGCTCTTGGTGCTCCCAAGCACACACCTTAAACAACTACACCATGACATGATCAAAAGGAATGCAACTGAAGCCAAGTCAGGGTTTTCAGGCATTGCCCCAATGAACTCTGGGTGAGGTCTAGGAGTTCTACATCTAGACCTCCTATGTGTAGTGGTCTAAGGTGTATGTTTGGGGGTACTGTACTCAGAGCATAACTTCCAATCCTCCTCAGGGCTCCTACTGATTTTCTTACTTTGCAAAATTTTAAGGAGTTGTACAAGTTGTGACAAACAAAACTTCTTGTTTTAATTCTAATATTTTAAACAATTTTCTTAGATTCTTGGGTTAATTAAATACAAACAAATCCTAGTCATATATTACCTTTACTAAGATTTTCTGGAGTTGTTTGTGCCAAAAGACGATAGATGCTCTCTCTTTCTGCTAGCACCTCCAAGGAAGTCATCTTTCCTGAACATAATGACCGGATCATCCAAGCAGCATCAAAACAGCTCAAAAATCCTCGGGCACATCCAGATCCAGTTGGCCAGAAAGGCTGTGAAATACAATATAATTATTGTATTTGTAATTATACAATACAGAGCGTGTTATTAATGTTATTAATGTTATTAATTACATGCTCTGCTGATTTCAACCTTTATGAAAAAAACATTACAGATTTATTTTCATATATTTTGAATGACAATAAAATAATGAATTTTACACACACACACATGAAAAGAAAGGAATACAGTGATATTTCAGCCCATCCTGAACTCTAGAAAGTGACAAGGGTCTAAGATGAGCTCAAGTTTCTTCATAGTGCTTTCTTTTCGCCCCTGGAACTACTCCTGCAGCAGGCTAGTAGCCTTGCTGAGAGCCCTGCAGAACCTCCCAAAGGAGGGCTGAGAATCCACCAGGAACTACCACGCATAACACACAACTCAAATATCATAATAATAATATTTTCATCATTATAATAATACAGAGACACCTTGGCTTACGAATATCCCCATTTATGAACTTTTCGGGTTACGAGCCCAATTTCTTCGGAAAATTTGAATCAGGTTATGAACTTTGCCTCGGGAAACGAGTTTGTTGATACACGTATGGCCGACCTGGCACGTGGTGGCACGGCAATTACACTTCAGTTTACCAGTGCCTCCTGCCTAGTGACAATCGTGCCTGAATTCTTTGTAAAGAATTACTTTTTTTTTTGTATTTTTGGCTATTTGAACATACAAATTTTATTTTATATCTTGCCATGGGTCCCAAGAAAGCAAGTAGTAAGGCTCAAGCCAAGAAAACACATGTGAGAATGACTACAAGGAGCAGAAATAAGAGGCAGCTGAGGAAATGTCTTCAGGAGGGAAGGAGGCAGTAGAGAATGTCCCTTCCTCAACAATTTGGAAGTAGTGTAGGCTGTGGGGAAGAAATGCAAACTTTTGTTGAAACGACTCACTCAGAGCAAGCTGTAGTAGGCCGTTGCATTAACCTTTTTAATGACAATGTAATGCCTCACTACAGACAAGTGTTACAACGAAGGGAAAACAATCCTCTATGGATCTTTTATAGTGAGAAAATCAAGCAGTGAGTTACAAGCAGGTCCTAGTGGTATGCCTGCAAAACATAGGAGAGAGAGTACCAAAGAAAAGTCATCACTGACTGATGTAATAATGGAAGGGGACTCCTTCCAAACAATAACACCTCTCCTCCTCCTCCAACCCCCCAACTCCTCTCCTCACTGTCTTCCATATGCCAACAACAGTCATAAGTAAAGGTAAGTAATAACTTGTAAATACTTTAGTACTGAAGATTTGGGTGAATTAGGTATAAAGTTTAATTTGAAGTTATTTTTTGGGGAGTCTGGCATGGATTAATTCAATTTCCATTATTTCTTATGGGGAAATTCACTTCTGTTTACGAATTTTCGGCTTACAAACCGTCTCTGGGAACGGATTAAATTCATAAGCTGAGGTACCACTGTATATAATTATTATTTTAATATTTATAATAATACTGAATATATTATGGTTATGAAGTTCTACAAATATTGTATTTCCATAAAATATATTAAGATTATGTTTAAGCTATAATAACACCTCAAACAGGATGTTTTATTGTTCTAAAAATATAATATTTTGAAAATATTATTGGCACAAATATATTTGAGCATTCTGATGTTTCACACAATTTATTATATAAATTTATCAAATAATACACTCTTGAATAATATTACAGTACTGAAAAAATAAAAAAATAAAAATCTGATCTAAAAATATCTTCGTGGCATATCCCGCCCCACGCCTGAACCCGGGCTACTGTCTCGGGGAGATGTCCCTATTAACTCAAGTGAATCGCAAGATTTGCCCACTCCAGTAAGCCACGTACAATGATCCCTCCCCCCCCACCCCCCACCCTCCCATGACCAGGGAACAGATTTTAACAATATTAGAAAGGAAAAAAAAAATCTTGCACAACAGGAAGCTTTCAGCTATTAACTGATGTGCAAACCGAGGTTAAGCTTCTGGCAGAAAGAATAATACAGAAGTTGCAAAACTATGCACAGACAAGACTGAAATAAAGTTTTTAAACATTATAAAGCAGTTGCAAAAAAATATGTAGCTACTTGTAAAGACTTTAGTATTGCAGATAGTGAGGCAGATGTACACACTCAATAAAACGTCTCCACATATGTAGAGACCTGTCAGAAATACAGTGAAATCTCAATTAACGAATTTAATTCGTTCCGGCACCGAGCTCATCATGTGAAATGCTCGTCTTTCAAAACGAATTTCCTCATTTAAAATATTGGAAATAAAAATAATCCGTTCACCACTGAAAAACATCAATATGATATTTGACTTTTTAAATAATGGAGGTTTTATTGCTACCTGACATACACTGAATGAACCTTTATGACATTTGTCCTTTTTTCAAATTTGTTCAAATTTTTTTTTTTTTTTTTCATTTTTTATAGCAAAAGGTTCGTTCGATGTTTGTCAGGTAGACTGCTCCATGTTTCTTAAAAAAAAAAATTAACAAATTTGAAAAACGGACAAGTGCCATAAAGATTCGTTCAGTGTTTGTCAGGTAGGATGCTCCATTATGACAATCTTTCTTTGTTTCAAATGTGCTCAATTTGTTTTGTATTTTTCATTTATTTATTAATAATGGAACAGCCTACCTGACAAAAACCGAGCCTTTATGGCATTTGTCTGTTTTTCATTTTTTTTTTTTTTTTAAGAAACATGGAGCAGCCTACCTGACAAACACTGAACGAACCTTTTTGACATTTGTTCTTTTCTCAAATTTTTTCATTTTTTTTATTCTACAAAAAAATCAATGCTTTGCAACAATCACAGCAGTCACCCCCTTTACATCCCAGCATCATTAACATCTTTAAACAAAAAAATAATTTATTTGCATCATCGGAGGCATCCGAGAATGTGTGAGAAGCAGTGGGAACGCACCATGTGGTTTTCTCGTTAATCAAACGAGCGCTCGCCAATCGAGACAAATTGTCGCCGATCAGTGCGCTCGTTACTCAAAATGCTCGTAATTTGAGGCGCTCGTCACTTGAGGTTCCACTGTATAGGCGAGGAGGAATGCACAGGTTAAGTACAGTATCATAATGACCCTGCCAAGAAAAAAATCAAAGACTAGTAAGACTGATAGATATAAATTACCTCTAGTAAGGTGTCTCCAACAAGTCCTGCCACAAGCTTGTGACCTTTTCTCTCAACCATTCGACTAGCATTCTCGGCGGCAAACATAGATGTGAAATCAAACATGGCAACATCAGGTTTCCCATAATGATTCACAGCAAAATCTAGGTGAGGCAGCTGATAGTTTGTGGAAAAATCTGCAGCTTCACGTGCATAATCTAGTAGGGCATTGCGGTTCACATTGCTTGAGTGTAACAACTGCTGCGTATCTGGCAGATCCTGAGACAATGTATGAAAAGATGAAAATTTGTATTAAATTCAAAACTGCCAGTTTTTGGATGATTTAATTAAAATGAAATTGAATCAGACATACTACATCAATACAAGTGAACAAGTGCATCAAATATAATGTAACTGCCAGTCTGAATACATCATAACAATCGAACACTGATTACATTGATACTTACATTTATTATCACGCCTTTGTCAATAAGAGAATGTTTTTTTGCAGTCATAACAAAGTAATGAGTCTCGTCCTTATAATAAACAATGTTTTCTAAATCAATCCCTGTTGCCGCATAGAGTTCCTTGAAGAATTTTTGGTTGAAGATGAATGCTACTCCACTAATTTCCTGCAACAAGAAATATATGAATATTTAATACAACTATGCACACATTTTTAAATGACTCGGATTCAAAATTATTAACCCAAATCACACATATGAAATGAACATAAAGTGATGACATTTTGCTATGTCCTGGACCCTTACCATAAGGAAATGAAAAACTGAAACATGGTAATACCAAAATCCGAATTACCAAGCTCATACAGCAGACCAATTAACAAAGTTAAATACCCCAGAAAGCTGCACATAGCACCATCAATCAGACTTGGTAAATGGAACCCAACAATGACCTGCAAAGTAGGAGGCCTAGGAATGAGATACCTTAGTGCTAGCCCAAACGAGATGCAAAGTGTCGAACAACCTCATGAGCTGGAGAACAAAACAAAACTCCTTAGAGAAGACAACAAGAAAAGTAAAGTATTTGACAACAGCACCAAAGAGCACTGAAGCATTAGCTGGGGAGTTATGGGAACAGGAGGACAATGTGAATGAAGCATAAATATCAGAGTATAACTCAATAAGTAGGACCATAAGATTCAAGGCACTGCTAGAACCCTGAAGATTTGTGGTGGAATCTGTCTCCATTAATATCCAGGTAACATAACTAAGCCAATGCTAGGTGAAATTATATGGGCAGATGCATTGCCTCGTATGTCTCTTTACAAGACAAAACTAATTAATTTAACACTTTCGCTCGGTAACGACGCAGCATTGCGTCGTTTTTTTAGTAGACGCACTTCCGGAAACGACGCAGCATTGCGTCGTTTATTTAGTAGATGCACTTCCGGTAACAACGCAGCATTGAGTCGTTTCCGGCAGTAAATTGGTGGCGGCTTCAGGAGGGGCGCGCCACGGTTTTGGATATTATATGCATATACTCCTGTAGGGAATATCATTGCGAATACATTGATACCAAAATGAAAGACCTAGGACCAGAGTTGAGGTAATAAAGTTGAAAAGAGTATACCCATTTTATTAGTGCTCACTGGGGTTACGCTCCATCACTTTCTCTGATTGCTGTGGGTGGTACGCCTGGCTTTTGGACTTTATATTTGCATATACTGTACTCCTGTAGAGAATTCTATTGCAAACACAATGTTACCAACATGAAAGACCTATGATGAGAATTGAGATGTGCAAAGTGAGGAGAGTGTACACATTTTATTGTTCTTGCGTGCTACTGGGTAATACGCTCTTCCTTTCTCACTTTCTCGCTGGGCTTTTGGGATTTATATGCATTTAGTCCTGTAGAGAATTCTATTGCAAACACATTGATACCAAATTGAAAAACTTAGGACGAGAAATGAGATGAGAAAGGGGAAAAGAGTATACACTTTTCAGTATTACCGCGCTTTCTAATGTATTGAGAGGTGCCTTGGGGTGGCGCAGTGCTCTCTTTCTGGGCCACTTTCATCTTGTCGGCGGGTGGAGCGCACTGTGGTTTTTGACATTATATACATATACTCTTGTTGGGAATTCTATTGTGAATACAATGATACCAAAATGAAAGACCTAGGACGAGAAATGAGGTGACAAAAGTGAAAAGAGTGTACACATTTTATCGCTCTTGCACACTCCCGGGTAACGCGCTCTCACTTTGTTTGTTGTGGATGGTACGCCGGGCTTTTGGACTTTATATGCCTTTAGTCCTGTAGATAAGTCTATTGTGAACACAATGATACCAAATTGAAAAACCTTGGACGAGAATTGAGGTGACAAAGTTGAAAAGAGTATACACTTTTCAGAATTACCATGCGTTCTCGTGAAACGATGAAACCTACCTGGGGTAGTGAGGGGCTCACGCCCACAGTGCGCATAAGTGTTAAGTTCTTTTAAATGAGTTTTGTATTATTCATTGCCAAGTCTTGGTAAAATCTTTACTGCTCAGTGCTGAGCACCTTCTAATTTGTCAATCATTACTAAAGTATGTCTACATGCAATATTTCAAAAGAGGACAAAATAATAAATGATAGTACTGAATACAGATTGAACATGACTTATGGATTGAAACTAAATGGACTAAAACTAAAGATCTCCTAACAAAGCCTAAAGGCATTTTTGATTCAGCCCATCTCTCCATATCCTGGTCACTCCCTGAGCCTAAGAATGTGCATTAGAACATTAGACTTCTGTTGGGTTCTGTCAACCTGGGATGGGAACTTCCATGGGAACAAGTACCTTTTCGAATTGTCTTCCTCCCACTCATCAACTGGGGAAGGGTGACATTTAAGAACAACTTCAATCCACCATCAATAGATGGTTTGCTATGGCAACAAAAGGCAGAAATATAATTATTTTTTGGAAGCTAATAATCCTAATAATAATCATGCTACCTATCCCACAAGTTATAATTAGTGTTGCAGACAGTGAGGCTGATTTACACACTCAATAAAGCATCTCCACATATGTAGAGACCTGCCAGGAATATAGGCAAGGAGGAACTCAGGTTAAGTATCATAATGACCATGCCAAAAAAAAATTATATTAGAATGCTGGATTATTAGTAGGATTATTAGCATCCAAAATTATTAGCGTACCTATCAAAATTACAGCATACCTATCCCCATACTTGGGGATATAACTGGAAAATACAAAGAATGCAAGTTAAATCACTAAGAAATAGTACTCAAAACTACATTAATTATTAAATACTGTACTCTGTCCCACGAGATGTCAACACCATCAACACAGGCAGGTAGGGAGAACTTGCAATCCTCATTTCTTGGCCAACATTTACCAGAGATATGTAACAAATACTACAAATTTATAACTTACTTGAACTCTGGCTTCTGCTTCAGTTCGTTTATTTATGAAATTGGCTGTGATGGCAATAGCTAACTTTCCACGAAACTCCTTTCGCTTGAAGCCATGAAGCGTGTTCCTCTTGCCATCTGCTCCAAGCAGCACATCAAATTCATACTGATTGGCTGGATGGTCTGGTGGAGTTAATCTTGCTCGCCAACCAATCTCTAATTGCAAAAATAAAAGTATTGCCTGTAATGAAATTCCTTTTTCTGATGGGCCCCTCATGACTCCTGGGAACCACCGAGTGCTCCATCCCAAACACTCCAAGAAATTATGAAAGGCTTAATTGTTCTAATTACAAGAAAGTAAAGAAGTCACAGTATGAACACGGTTCATACTTTTAACCATGTTCATTTTTAACATGGTTAAAATTAAAAAGTTTAAAAATAATCCAATACCCTAAAGGCTACCGAAAATAACATGAGCAACAGAAAATAAGATGATTTTTAATAGTGATAAATTCCAGATACTTAAGCATGGTACAAATGAAAATAAACAAAATACAGTTTACAACAGACAATCAGGTCTCCTCATAGAAGGAAAACAATATGTAAAAGATCAGGGAATAATGATGTCACAACAGCTAATGTTTAGGGAGGATAACAAACCAAATATAGCATCAGCAGGAAAAAAATAGGATAGCTAATGAGACCCTTAAAATCCAGGGATTCCACCACAGTGCTCATGCTATTCACATCACTAGTGCTTTCCTGTTTTGATTACTGCTCAATACATTGCTCATTTCTCCTTTCAAAGTAGAAGATACTGTATTGCTGAAATAAGAGGGAATACAAACAACATACATGGTACACGCACACACATGATAATAAAGCACCTAAATTCTTAGGACTGTCAGAAAGATCTTAAGGGGCCATGTGTTTTTTTTTTTGTTTTTTTGTTTTTTTGCATGGATTTTAATTTCCTGTTTTTTCATTAAAATTTGTTTTGGGGGGTTGAATCTACTTGATATATACTCCAATTTTGTCTAAATGTTCAACATTGTAAAAAAAAATCAAATAATTTTTGTTTTTTGGGGGAGGCAAATTTAAAAAAACCAGCGTTGAATGTAATGAGACGCCATTTTCTGGGTGAGCCCCGGAGGCTCCCTGGAGCTTATCGGGCTAATGTATGTTATATTAGACTGGGACATTAGCTAAGGAGTTCAGACCTACCAGGGACCAGCGTCAGAACCTGGCCCCTTCAGAGAGGTTTCAGGGAGCAATGGCCCTGGAAAACCCCTTTGTGGTTTGGGTTTTCCTTATCTGCCATTGACCGGGGTTAGGCACCCAGAAAGGTAAGCATAACAAAACAAACTCCATATGGTAAAAAACTAAAACAAAAAACCAAGCAGAGAGGTAGAAACTCCCTACAATCCCAAGAAAACAAGCAAACATCACACTGTACATCACACTGCGCAGATCGTCCGCGCACCCCCCCCCCCACTCCGAGAGGGGGATTTGGGAGCCCCGGACCTCACAGCGCCGGCTGCCTAGCATCAGTTTGGAAGGTAAGCTTCAACCAATGCGAAAAAACCGTCGATCGGTGGTAGGGAGGGTTGCCAGGGAGCCTCCGAGGCTCACCCAGAAAATGGCGTTTCATTACATTCAACGCTGATTTTCAGTGGGGGCCCCTACGGCTCCCTGGAGCTTCATACCCAAAGAGAAGGAAAAGAAAGGGCTGACCCGGGAGGCGGCCGCCACAAACTCCGCAACGCGAAGCCGAGACAACAGGCTGCAACCTGCAACCCAAGGCAACAAGAACGCACAGGAGCAGACACGCACATAAAGAACGGGCGGCCAGAAACCTGTGTGACCCTCAAATCCTCGTGCCCGAAATGAGCCCTAGAAGTCACCAACACAGCAGCAAGAGTTGCAAACGTCCGAAGAGCACGGGCGCAAGGATAGACCGCAAGCTGGAAAACCTAAAAACTCTACGGACGACCTGGGAGACTCGAGCCCTGAAACAGGGAACTGGATCAACCCAAAGCGCAGCCCCAGACACATTACGCTGGTAATGGCAAAAAGCGCAACCGGACAACACAGGATGCACCTCAGGCCGAACCAATCAAGCAACAATAACCCAAGGACCCCCCTTCCCCGGTAAGCAGCCGTCTCGACCGTCACCAGAAGGACGGAGAAAGGCTGCAAATGTACAAACCTATCACCAGTACCAAAGAGCAGAAACCTGAACTGAAGGGGCTACCACAAACTGAGGAGAAGATAAGAGGGCACCCTGATCAAGGACCAGGACGGCTCAGGCGACGCACGAGCAGGCCGGAGGTGAAACAAAACACGAGAAAGCGTACGGAACTGGGCAGATGTGACGTCCACCCTGAACACAAGCCGGAGCGGCTCCGCCAGTGCTGCACAAAACGAGGTGTCAGTAAGAAACATCAAATAACTGTAGTCCTGAAAACCCAAGAAAGGACAAGACAACCCGATGCGAAAGAGAAGACGACCTACGAAGAGCAAGAAAAAGGTGCATAGAAATACCAGGAACATCATACTGTCGCCAAGACGAAGCTCGCAGGTGGGACACCATCAACAAAACCACCTGATCACCACAGAGATGGCGATTCCCGCGTAAAAACCAGACGCGAAGAGCCAAGGAGAAGGCCGAACCAGTCACGTACAGGACTGGTCCAACCTGCCGAAAGAGGCGGAGCCGCGGGAAAACGCCCTGGGTTCGGACACCTATCAAGCATCATCTGAAAATAAAGCTGGACTGGCCACCAAGGGACCATAAGGACTACTCTCTTGGGAATGGGCTCCAACTGAGCCAGAACTCGAAGCAACAGCTGGACCGGGAGAAGAGGAACAGGTACCCCCACCTCGACCAGTCCTGCCGAAAGGCATCCACCGTGAACGCCTCGCAGGCGGGTAAGGGCGCCACATAGAATGGGCGACGCCTAGAATACGCCGACTCGAAGACGTCCATGGCCAGGAGTCCATATGTCCGGCAGAGCCAACGAACGAGTCGGCGACGACTGGCCAATCCGTTAACAGAGGAATGAACCGATACAGGCTGTCCGCCAGGACGTAGGACACGCCCCGGACATGAACCTCACGGTAAGACATACCCCGAGAATCCAGCAAACGAGCCACTCGAAGGGACCAACCCAAAGGCAAACACCTAAGAGAAACCCTGTGGTTCTGGCAAAGAACCACCAGAGAACAGTCTGAATGGAGCTGAATGGTAGAGCACTGAGTGACCCGAACCCTCCGAAGTGCAAACCAGACAGCCACAAACTTCTGAACCGTGCTGTGAGCCTGACGGACGGACAGACTCCACCATCCACGGCCGACCTGGTGAGCACTGGTCACAAAGCCCCAGTCGAGAGATGACCTGTCCGTGAACACATCGAGCGAAGGCTCGGGGAGGTGCCAAGGCACGCAACCTCAAAAACCCAAAGAGGATGCTGGTGACGCAGCACCAACACAAGAACCCCAGAGGAACGAACCCAACGATTGCAAGAGACGCGGAAGGAGAGTCTCCGAAGGAACCAAACAGACACTGAAGCCAAACCCGACCCTGCGGGCAGACTAGCACGTCGAAGTTCAGACTCCCGCACAACTGCTCGAGCAACCGCCGAGCAACTCGGGACCCCCTCATGAACAGTCGAAGGCGGGACCACAGCCGCAGCAACACTTCTGCAGGGAAGGACAAGGAGCAGCCCAAGAGCCCTAAACAAGACCCAGCCAGGTCCGAACCCGGACCGGAAACAGATGGAACGGCGTCCAGATCACCAGGAAACCAAACCCGACGATCTGGAAAGAACCACACACCTGGCGAGCAGACAAGCAGACCAATTGGGAGCCCACAACAGTCAGCCATCGAGGTAGGCTAGACACCGAATCCCAAGCAGACTCAGAAAGGGCACCAAAATCCGGTAAAGATGCGTAAATACACCAAGTGCCAATTACAAACAAGGGAAGGCAACAAAAGCGGCAAGCCTGAAGCCCCACCACTAACTGTGCTAGTCCCGGAAAACTGGAGAAAAACGTGCCAAGAATTGACCTGGAGGTCCAGGGCCACCATCCAGGCACCCGGCACCAACAGAAGCCGGACCGGAGACAACAGTCCTCCGATGAGGGCATAGAATCCAGGGCACAGACTGAAGAAGTCCAGAAGAACTGCAGATTCGCCAGGCCCGTGTCTGCATAGAGCAGACGGGAACCCCAATAGGATGGGGCGGATCAACCACATCCAACACACCCACTAAGATGACATGACGAAGCGCAGCTGAAGAAGCCCACCCCGCCAGCCCTGAGAGCCCCCCAAAGGGGGAGAAGCCGTCCGCCGCCTCCACCAGAGGCCGGAAGACAACCAAAAGCGCCCACTAACTGCGGGACTATGCGAGAGTCAACAGAGCAAGCTGCTCCCTCAGCGCCCAGTCAACAGCAAAGGGAACAGAACCCCTTCCGAAAGAAAAAGCATACATACATATATACACACATGTACACATATATTATGTACACATACATACATATAATGTACATATACATATACATACATACACATACACATAAATACACACACAAAGGTGTATTACACACACGTGCAGATGCACATACACATGTGCACACACACACACATGTGTATGTGCACATACACAAACCTCACTTTGTTGGAAGACAGAAGAGTTAGGGGGACATGATCACTACATTCAAGATTCTCAAGGGAATCGACAGGGTAGATAAAGACAGGTTATTTCACACAAGGGGCACATGCACTAGGGGACACAGGTGGAAATTGAGCGCCCAAATGAGCCACAGAGATATTAGGAAGAACTTTTTTAGTGTCAGAGTGGTTGACAAACGGAATGCATTAGGAAGTGGTGTGGTTAAGGCTGATTCCATACACAGTTTCAAGTGTAGATATGATAGAGCCCAGTAGGCTCAGGAACCTGTACACCTGTTGATTGATGGTTGAGAGGCGGCACCAAAGAGCCAGAGCTCAACCCCCGCAAGCACAATTAGGCGAGTAAACACAGTGTACACATACACACGTACATGCGCACACACACATACACGTGAAAAGAAAATTACAAGCCGCCGACCAGTGGGCAGAGAGCACCACACCGGCCAGGCGAAGAAGGCACAAAACGGCATCAAAAGGTCCACCTCGACAACAAAATCTCCAAGTCCCAGCACGACCACAACATGTGCCTCCGGTGACTTGTATACAAGAACAAGAACTACATTTAGGATCTCTACTTTGAATATCAGCACTTCCACCATATCATTTATGGTGTTTAGCAGCTCAGTGTGGATAAGTGTGTCTTTGATATACAGGCTGACCCCACCCTGTAGCCTATGTTTCCTATCACAGCTGAAAAGATTGTACCCTGAAATCCATATTTCACCATCATAGTAGTCCTTTGTGTGGGTTTCCATTAGGGCTACAAACACGGCATTTGCCTCAGGTAGGAGGCCATATATAAAATGAACTTTGTTAGATTTGCGTGCTTTTATACCCTGGATGTTGGCAAATAAAAATTATGTTATCGTGTTTGTGGAAGTGCTGGATGCTTTACTTGGTGTTAATATTCAAGACACTGGTAGGGCCTCAGTGTTTGCGTCCTCTTTAGCATTTGACCGAGTTGGTGGTAAAGTCTGGACATTTTTAGCCATTCTTCTCCTCTTTCGCTTGCTAAAAAAAATCATCCTGGTCAATACAGTTGTGTCTGTTTTCATCGTACATCACGTACACAAAGGTAGATTTTTCTTTATGCTTCACATATTGTATTTGACTTCAGCAGACAATGTGGGTGAACTGATTTCAATAAATAATTGCATTCATTGATATCAGATTGAAACAACAACAAACCAAATTAGGAAATTATATTAACAAATAAATTCACATGATAAATAAATAAATTAATAAAAATACTAACTTTCATTTTGATCCTCGGGTGGTTCAACTAGCTCCTCAAAGGTCACAGATTCAAACACTTCAACACCCAACAGCAAGGCTACCTTCAGCAAGATGCACTGAAGTTGCCGGATGCCTATAAAAAGAGTGAACATCATGAGAAAATCAAAAGAAATTACTGTATAGAATGGTTATGACATCAAATGCCCTTGACCCTTTTTCTGCAGTTCCGTTCACGGTAGCATCACTTCGTCATTTGCTCTGTCATCCACTGCCATACTGTCTTTTCTAGTCTTCATCTCTCTTTCCCTTCCTTGTGCCAATTTACATTAAGTTCCTGAGAGCCATCCTTATTCTTTACACACAATTTTGCTTTTAAGGAAGGCACCTTTTGACTCATATCCACCATCAGGAGACTGAACATGTCAGGCTCCTGGGCTAATTTTATGCCTGTGAGAACAAGCCAACCTTTGAAATTGGCTGACAATGAATGGAAGTGGAGTCTATTACAGAAAAGCCAGTTTCTCTAGTATAAACCAAAAACACTTCAAAATACAAATAATTCTTGGTAATATGTACTGAATAGCAAAGAATCACACTTTAATTACTGAATGATTAAATATCCAACTATCCTGGTCACCAACTGAAGTGTAAACAAGTATACAATAGCTACAGCCTCATACCCCTTTTACATTTATTAGAAAAAAACCTACTTCCTTTAATTGTCTCACTTGTTCTAAGCTTTGTCTCACAAACCAAGCATCAAACATTCCACTCTAAACGTTCACCACTCTTTTGGTTTCTTCTTTAAGTCTTCCTTACATTTCACACACATACTGTATGAGTATTCCTTTCTTTTCCAGGGCCCAAGTAGGTAAGATAATTATCAGGAGAAAACCGTAAGCCAGAATGACTATATATATAACTCAGGAAGGAAAGGATGTGAGAACAAGGAGTTGGAATATGAGGACAGTTGAGGAACAGTGCCCAACCACTTGAACCATTCAGGATCAAATGCAGACCTTGCTTTTCCTTCTTGCAGGGTCTGCATCATGCTACCAACTGCTCCAAGTGGCTGGAGGCTTAAGAAGGTAAGAGCAACTATTTGACCGAATGTGGTTCACATTTTGTATTACTGAATTAGCCCAGATGGCATACTAAGAAACCAGAAAAGTAACTATGAACTTACACAAACTTAATTTGTCCAAGCAATCCTAAGCCTAATATATATACTATACGTGCTTTACATAAAAAATAATCTGTATCCTCTACAAAGTAAACACTGTTTGCTCCAATTGTTTATTTTTGCTCATTCAACCCAACTGGTGCTATGAGTACTATTACTTTAGAATGATTTAGAATTACTTTAGAATTATTTTTTTAGTGCCAAATTAAGAGAATGGGCTGAGCAATTGGTTTCTTGATCTAACCAAGAATTAGCACAAAGTTAAATAAGGTTAAAATATTGACTTACTAATGTGATCAATAGCTCCAGCACAGAATTTCCCATAGAACTTCTTTGCTCCCAGTTGCTTCAGGTCGGATATGACAAATGGCCATAGGTGGAGAACGTTGTTACGAGACAATCGGTCTCGTTTCTCCACCACCACAACTTTAGCACCCAACAGCTGGCACTCTATAGCCGAGCGCAAGCCACACGGTCCAGCACCAATTATCAAGACCTGTAATGTGTAAATTACTGCAGATTAATATGCTGAAAAAACATTAATAATGTATAAAACAAATTAATGAATGACATGAGAAAACAAATCTCTTGGATTTGCAATACAATATTGTGAATATACTGTATATTTAATGGAAAAGCTTCAAAAACCGCCAAACAAACTTCCTCAACAACGTAAACAAATGACAAATCTCGAAACAAGCACGAGCTTGTTAGCACTACCCCACCACCAGCTATGGGGGGAGGCCCAGAGTCCCCTGTGCCCACTGAGCTATGAAGCCAGTTCTGGAGCAAATGCACCAACGAAACCCCCATTTCGTTTGTGTATAAAACTTGGAAGGCAAAGAGAGAATCGGGAAGCCATCAGGGCTCACCCTGGAGGAGGTCTTTCATTACATTCAATACAGGGTTTCTTTGGAGAGCACTCTTATGGCTCCCTGAAGTTAACCACCGACAGAGGAGAAAGAGGAACTCACCATGAGGAGGAGAAGAAATCGCAGCCAGTCAGAATAAAGATTACAGGACGTCAGATATGCTTCAACCTCCCAATTTCACACAAAATTTAAATCTCCAAGTAGTTTCTAGGGAACAACACTGTTCAATAACAATAATGTATTTTATTATACTAATACACAACAGTTTGGTATAAAATTTAATCCAATTGTTAAGATGTTTAATGGGTAATCTACCTGAATAAATGCAATAAATAACAAAACAAGACACACAACTGGATATAATTTATATTGCTGGAAACAGGAAGTTCATACAAGACCTGTACAGTGTACTGTACTTAAGCTTAACAAGGTCCCTCCCGCGGCCAACTACTGACCTTCCCCTAGGATGTAACCCACAACAGTTACTTAACTCCCGGGTACTATTTATTGCTAGATGAACAAATGCATCAGATGAAACGAAGTGAACTGAACCATTTCTGTCTCAGCCAAGGATGGAATCCGGGATCTTCGATCATGAGTCGAGGACAACTCCTGGGAGAGATATCTCATCAATAAAGAAATATAAAGCCATTCTAATGTAACTCACCTTACTGTTGGTGCATGCCTTGCCATGGTTATAGCACTTGTGACTAGCTCGCTTGTCAAACTTACTCCACAGAGCTTGAGCTTTCCATGACCGAAGTTTGGACTGAAAAAACAAAAAAAATTTATGTGCAGAACCAAACAGGTTAATAAATAAAAGTTAATCACTTAAAAAGTTTTAATTTCATAATAATAAAAATGTAAATATTAACACCTTTATTTTGTATGATACAGTAGTTGGATGACCTTGCAATACTGTATAATCTCAAATAGAAGTTTCATCTTAAGCAACTTCATTGTTTCAAAGATAAATGTACACACATAGTAAAAGTAGTCATTGGTAATCTATAAGGCAACCATCACATCAATGTGTAACACTCTTCCTCCTCCTAGTCTCACAATTGCTTGCTTGCTTGCTTAGGGCATCTACAAGCACTTCACTTCCTTAAAGACTAATTGCTGCCACCATTCCTGTATTTACTTACTGGAGCATACTTGGAGAAGGTTTTGAGAGTTCTTCTGCTCCCCAAGCCCAGCCTGGAGGTCAGGCTTGACTTGTGATAACTTGGACCTACAAGCTGTTACTTGGAGCGGCTCGCAGGCCCTCACATCCACTACAACCCAGTTGGTCTGGCTCTTCTTACAAGAACTTATCTAAATGCTTCCACCTCTGTTCCAGCAATACAGTATTTCTAGTGCTTGCTGCAAGAACATTAAAAAACCATGGATGCTCAGGCAGCGCTCTGTGCCTATGGGTCCTCTACTCTTCACTGGTTCTATTCTGCATTTCCTTCTGTATATTTTGGTCCAGTATGTTGTTAATCTACTGTGCAAATTTGGGATCTGGCCTTCCAGTGTCTTTAAGTGCTGTATATATTATTTGATACCTCTCTCGTCTCCTTTCCAGAGAGTACATTTTGAGAGCTTTGAGATGGTCCCAATAATTAAAGTGTTTAATTGTGTCTATGGGTGCCGCATTCGTTCTCTATACAGTACAGTATTCCCTCTGTTTCAGAAATACTTCCTGCTCTGAAAGGAAAATCGAGTACTGAGCAGTACTAAAGACGGGACACTACCAGTGATTTAAATAGTATTAGCATTGTTGATCTGGATCTGGTTGATCTGGAGAGGGTCTCGGGAGTTCTTCTACTCCCCGAGCCTGGCCTGAGGCCAGGCACTACTTGTGATAACTTGGTCCAACAGACTGTTGCTTGCAGCTGCCCGTAGGGCCACATATCCACTAAAGCCTGGTTGGTCCAGTACTTCTTGGAAGAACTTACTGGTATGCTATGGGATCCCTGGATTTGAACATTCCTATCATTTTCCTGGCTGCTGCAATATTTGCTCGGTTATGTACATTATATGTCAGGTAGTCAGACATCATAATTTCCAAATTTTTTACATGTTGTTTTCCTTCTATGAGTAAGTTTGATTATGTTCTGTACCCTGAATTTTGTTTAAGTTGCTCATTTCCACTATACCTGGCCACAGAGGTAGACCACATGGGATTAAATGTTAATACATATCTGCTGTGCTGACAGGTATCCAGACTTTGATGTTAGTTGACACCTGTTGAGCTATTCACTTACACACATGGATATCACCCTCTCATCTCAGCCACCGGACATGTTGTAGCAGGGAAATGCTTCAAGTGTTTTTATATCAATTGTATTTTTATATCAGTTGTGGGAAAGGGTAATTGAACCCTTTAATTAATGCAAAAACATTTATCCAAAACCCAGGTAAAAGCTTCACTCCATTCCTCCAACTTGAGGACACACCCCTACCCCATTACTGACCACCACACACTGACTCTTCCAAACACCAAACCTTCCTAACAACCAACATTACCACTATCTGACAACTACATAAAACTCACCCCACCACCCTTTGGAAGGAACTTCTCAAGTATCTGCCTACATTGGCCCATGGCTCCTTAGACCACATAGGAACTCTCTCTTGTAACAGTGGCTCTTTAAAGAAATTTTCCTATTAAGGTTGTGTAAACATAATGGACAATAGATTACTGGGAAAGAAACCCACTCAAGGACCTGATATGCCAAAAACTAATCTACTGACTTTTGTGGCACAGCTTAAGTATTTCCTTACAACCCCACTGTAACAGGCCCAATTGTTACAAATGCACAACTTGCTCATAGGCCTATGCTAGCCACTTTACTATGTGATAATTTTAATGTCAATTACCAAATGTTTCATTCCTATTTGTCATGTTTATTGTCTTTGCTATACTGTATTAATATTCTACTGTATTCTCCTTTTTCCAAATTGTTTGTAAAATTGTAGGTTACTAGTATTTTACACTGAAAAAGTTTACAGAAAGGCAATAAAATATATACAGTATACTGAACATACCTTTAATTTAGGATAAAAACTTCTAAAATTAGTAGGTTTGAGCCTGAGAACATCACATAATTGACGGTAGTGGTAGAGGACTGTCTTGAAAGTGCTGGCAGCACACAGCTGCTCGAAGATGTCAGCAGCTGCGGCACTGTCTGGTGATGGAACACCTGGCTTGTTGTGGTGGTGGTGGGAGGAGTACATCCTGTCCCTGTGAAAAGCAATATATTATACAAAAAAATACTGTATCATAGATGCACCTTACAGTATTCCTTTACCTGCAATAAGGTGTAGGAATAAAATGGATATCATACAACACACCACACACAGAGATCACACTAACGTGATGCATCAAATCCTGGACGCAGGTTCGAATCCTTGTCACGGCCCTTGTGGATTTATTCAGTTGATATCATACAAATTTGATCATTTATACTATTAACCACAGCATAATTAACTAAATAGTGATCAAAATCTATCACCAATCATTGCCCCATTAGTTTGTCAAAATAGTTTAATGAAAAAGAGCCTCAAATTAACATTAAAAAGGTGACATACACTTATAAAGTTACAGTATATCTTCATGAGAGTGAAGGACAAGTATGAAAGGTGGTAGATGGTGCTGACCATTTTCCCATACATCAATGATAGTACCCAAATGCGGCATCAATATTTTTACAAGTAACTTTCACAAATGCTGAAGTAATGGCAATAACATGTTTTAGAATGAGTGGAGTTTTGAAGACATCTAGTGGAAAAAAGAGGATAGGTAAAGAGAAAATTAGAGCTATAAATAATTACAAAGTGGGTAAAGTCACTTAGTGGTCTTAACAGTACTGTACTGTACTTGTTGTACAGGTGGAATAACTGGACATGTTGAGGTATGGTGGGGAGGGGCTGGGAAGGCAGAGATGATATTGGACATAATGTTAATTATCATATGTCAGATGATGTGGCAGGAGGGCAAGATGCCTGATGACTGGACTGCAGTCTTTCTTGTACTATACCACCAGCATGTAAATAAGGGAAGGATAGTGTAGGTATATATATACAAATGTGGGAACTGTGGAGGGTTTAGTTGCTGAGTACTGCATCTGTAAACAGAAAACTACAGGTCTGTTGGCCCATATAAGGTCGCTTTTATTAATACCCACTGAAACTCGCTTATATATTAGGTAATATAGAGCAGGATAGGAAAAGAAGGGGCATTTCATCTATCAGTACTTGCAGACCTCTGTTCCAAAGCCTTTTAGAGCCCATGCTAATGTAGAAAGCTTTAAAAATCTGGCTTTACTAATCTTTACAAAAAAAATACAAATCTGACTTTACAAATTAGATATATATTGCAAGAATGCATGTTGAAAAGTTTTTAACAAAGAGAAGAAAATTTAATGCTGCCTTTATGAATCTTGAAGAAGCATATGACTGGATTGATCATGAATTGAGCAAGGTTTAAATAATGTTGAGGTTAAAAGGAATTAGAGGGAATTGAGGTTAAAGAGAGGTTATTGATTTCAATTTTGCATGTGTGAAGAAATATCATTGATAATTCTTTATCTCTTGTATGGTTTTCTATTCTAATTGCATTACTTCAATCTGATGTGACTGCTTCAGTTTCTGTTCTATTTCTTCAATATCCCTGTTTAAATTATTCTTTCTCTGTGGGGATAGTCTTGTGGGTTCGATCCCACTGAATGACCTCAATATTTTTTCTCACAAAATAACAAGGTAGGTAGGTAAAGAGCATTAACTCTTAAACAGTTCCAATCATTACCTGTGATTACCTCCTGTACTCGAATTGCCAAAAATGTTTTATAAATTAGTTTTGTGAACTTTTTTTTCATGAGCACCACAATTTAGGAAATTTAATTAGCTTAGCTGCTTAATGGTTAAAGACTAACATACTCACCTAGAGTGTGCTGGTAGCTGGCAGATGAGAGTATTGACAGAGGTAGAGAGTAGCCTCGGGGATGTGTGCGGTGGTCAGCCCCGGTCCCACTCACACCTCATGCACACCATCCTGCACATGCAACCTGCAAACAGGAAATTTTTGTTAATGAAAATGAAGACAAGAACCATAACCTACAACAAAGCATAAATTTATTACAGTATCTTGCAACCTATACTAGATAGAATATAAGCCAAGTACTGTATACATGCTGTATATCAAAATAAAATAATGCTAAATTTACTAACATTTAGGGACAAACTTCAAAATAAAAATATGTAGAATAAAAGTATATACCTTGCATTGTTTATAGCAATGTTAATGCTAATCCTACAAATCCCTAATCTTATTGTTTTATAACAAAATTAGTGTATTGTATTTAAACTTTAGTAAAGAATACACAATAAGATCATAAGAATGTGATAAATTTATGAATAAATTTTGCAGACCATCATCCACAGACAACACTTTGCAATGATTTCGGGGCTCAACATCCCCGTGGCCCAGTCCACGACCAGGCCTCCTGGTTGTTGGACTGGTCAACCAGGCTGTTGGACGCGGCTGCTCGCAGCCTGACGTTTGAATCACAGTCTGGTTGATCAGGTATTCTTTGGAGATGTTTATCAAGTTCCCTCTTGAACACCGAGGAATCGGCCAGTTATGCCCCTAATGAGTAGTGGAAGTGTGTTAAACAGTCTCTGGCATCTGATGTTGATCGATGGCTCTCTCAGAGTACCTATTACACCTCTGCTTTTCAACGGGAATACTGCACTCGAAGAGAATACAGATTTAGGCATTTTAGTCAGTTCCCATAGTTTAGAAGTTTTACCAAGTAGATTCTAGCATTAAAAGATCTCTGCATGCTCTGCAGGTCAGCAATTTCTCCAGCTTTGAAAGGGGTTGTCATTGTCCAACAGTATTCCACTCTAGAGTGCACTAGCATCTTGAAAAGTATCATCAGTGGTATAGCATCTCTAGTTTGAAAGGTTCCTGTTATCCAACATGTCATTTTTCTTGGAGTTGTGATGGCTACTTATTGTGTTCTCTAAAGATAAGGTCTTCCAACATGAGTACACACTAATCCTTTACATTGCTTTTTCATTTTATGTTATAATTTGACTGTCTTATGTACTGTACGTGGTTTCCATTTTAATATTTTCATTTTTACGTAGCGCAGGAGCTGGAACTTATCTTCATTAAATACCATATTTTCTGAAACCCATTGAAAGACCTGATTTATATCTGATTGGAGGTTTGCTGTGTCCTCTATGTTGTCTACTTTCATACACATCCTTGTGTTATTGGCTTCTTCAAAATTCAGTGGGAATACACACAGAATAGATACACAGAATCTATTGTGCAACACAGAATACACAGAATATTCTGTGTATTAGACACAGAGACACCCACGACACAATACACAAAGAATTCTGTGTTGTGCAGATACACAGAATAGATACAGTATAGACACAGAATGATTTTCATTCTAAAATGCTCTGATGAAGGTGAATTGAGCCAACAACACGTTTAGCATTCTCTATTTTTAACATGTTGTTTTTCTGCATAGTTGGATCAGTGTTTTTATGATCGTTGTTGCTTATGTGCTATATTAAGCCTGGAAACTTTAGGTTTGGTTTCAAGAATGTGAACTTTATTGGTTGCAACAGTCCATTTTTGGACATTTGACCAAATAGTTGCTTAAGTATTATCTTTTTTGACGGATAGATTGAAATATCGAGGCTGTACAATGACATCAACCCATCCTCCCGTTTAGATAGTACTTTTTGTAACTATGTGGACCATCATACAAATATTTATGTAAATATTTATGTATGCAGTCTGAAAGTTACATGGTAAAGTCTACAAAAAAAACACCTGTCATCCAAAAATTATATAGATGGAATGTCGTCCCCAAATTATATGGATGGAATGTCGTCCGAAAATTATAGGGATGGAATGTCGTCCGAAAATTATATGGATGGAATGTCGTCCAAAAATTATATGGATGCAATGTCACCCAAAAATTATATGGATGGAATGTCGTCCAAAAATTATATGGATGGAATGTCACCTAAAAATTATATGGATGGAATGTCATCCAAAAATTATATGGATGGAATGTCATCCAAAAATTATATGGATGGAATGTCATCCAAAAATTATATGGATGGAATGTCATCCAAAAATTATACGGATGGAATGTCATCCAAAAATTATATGGACGGAATGTCATCCAAAAATTATACAGACAGAATGTCATCCAAAAATTATATGGATGGAATGTCATCCAAAAATTATACGAATGTAATGTACAAAAATGGAATGCTGCACACAAAAAAAGTTTTGTACTATTAATTTTGTCATGGGAATAGATAGATGGAAGGTCAAGGGTAGATGTAATTACAAATAATAATATATGGAGATAAGAGTATTACGTAACTACGGCCACAAATTATTGCAGTGACAGATGAAGCTGACAAGTGTAATGTAGGGAATGCAATATTCCCAACAGAATATCAAATAATTAAAAGACAACAAGAGAACAAATCCACAAGGGCCGTGACGAGGGTTTGAACCTACGTCCGAGAGGATCCCAGACGCTGCCTTTATCGACTGAGCTATGACATGGCAAAAGAATTGTAACCGAAAGTTCTATTGACAAGAGAATACCAAATAATTAAAAGACATCAAGAAAATATCAAATAATTAAAAGACAACAAGAAAATATCAAATAATTAAAAGACAAGAAGATAATATCAAATAATTAAAAGACAACAGAGTAACTGTGGAGGAACAAGAAGTAACGGAAGTCATTTACAACTACCAGGTAAATATCAAAACACCCAGGGTGGAAAATTGCAGCAACAAAAACCTCCTACAGTTGCAAAGTAAGAATCGTAAATATTCTAATACAGTACTTTTAAAACTTTACAAGAGAAAGAAGAATGAAGGAGCGGGTGAGAGTATCCGCTGGGAGGACCTGGGGTAGAAGGGCCTAGGAGGACCTGGGGGAGAAGGGCCTAGGAGGACCTGGGGGAGAAGGGCCTAGGAGGACCTGGGGGAGAAGGGCCTAGGAGGACCTGGGGGAGAAGGGCCTAGGAGGACCTGGGGGAGAAGGGCCTAGGAGGACCTGGGGAAGAAGGGCCTAGGAGGACCTAGGGGAGAAGGGGCCTAGGAGTGCCTGGGTCAGGAGCACTGCCAGGCACCTACCCCCGCTGACCTTGGCCACCTGGGCCCAGTAACCCACTCTCACTCACCTCTAATGAATAATATCCCATTTACAAACATTAAGGAATTATTTGTGGTTACGATAATAATAGAATCTCACGGAGGCTGTCTGCAGGAATGGTTTATTTAATGAAATTAAGAATTACAAGTACTTTACATGCGGGTTTCCAAAGCAGTAGTTATCCAGATCTCTCAATCTGTTCAATTTGTATAAATTGTTCACGTTTTATTTTGTGTTGATATTCAGCACTTTAATAAACTCCCTTGTTATACCCGTTCATCCATTTATATACATAAATCATGCTTTCTAGGAACGTATATTAAACTTTTATACTGTATTCTCATAATTGTGGATATTCTAATTGCTAGAATTAACTCGGTAAACTTTATCTGTAGACGTCGAATTAACGTTCATTCTATAATATATGGTGATCAAACCCGAACTACATAATCTGCTGGGTCCGTCATCATAAACAATGTCATCACAGCACTGCTCCTGTGCCAGGTAAGCTACGGGCTCACCATAGCCCATGCTACTTGGAACTTGTTCCGAGTAGCTGAATCTATAACAACAAGACGCCAACCACCCTGAGGCTACGCTCGTCTGAGCTGTGGCCGACGCCAAAGACGCATTCACCAATTTTAACCCATTATATCTTCAAAAAATGAGTATTTTTTCAAATATAAGTTAATATTATATGTTAGAATTTGGTGTATACTTAGGGCCTAGATTAGCAGCTGTTTACCTTGTGTTAGCAATTATTTGTAGAAGCAGTTACAGAATTTTAAACTCTGACCTTAAATATTTATTACATAAGACGAGAACCATAACACAGGTACTCACCCAGTTGTACTCACTAAGTTGAGCTTGCGGGGGGTTGAGCTCTGGCTCTTTGCTCCCGCCTCTCAACTCAGGTGATGGGCGACTCTTGTAAGCGATTGGTTAGAGTTACAATATCCAGTCACACACGCGCCCGTAGTGTGGCATAACAGTACACCTTCCAAGGTTTAAACTACACACAGTAGAGAATGTCACAATAACGTGACACAAATAACTCGACCCCACATGAACTTAGCGTAAAGACAGTACGCTCCGTCACCATTTATGGCTCCAGGACGTCGGCAATTTCATTTCCTAAGTGTAAGTTGGTCTATTTGTATACACAGTACACAACTCCAGGGCTGTAACTACACACACACAGTACACAACTCCAGGGCTGTAACTACACACAGTACACAACTCCAGGGTTGTAACTACACACACACAGTACACAACTCCAGGGTTGTAACTACACACAGTACACAACTCCAGGGTTGTAACTACACACACACAGTACACAACTCCAGGGCTGTAACTACACACAGTACACAACTCCAGGGTTGTAACTACACACACACAGTACACAACTCCAGGGCTGTAACTACACACAGTACACAACTCCAGGGTTGTAACTACACACACACAGTACACAACTCCAGGGTTGTAACTACACACACACAGTACACAACTCCAGGGTTGTAACTACACACACACAGTACACAACTCCAGGGCTGTAACTACACACAGTACACAACTCCAGGGTTGTAACTACACACACACAGTACACAACTCCAGGGCTGTAACTACACACAGTACACAACTCCAGGGCTGTAACTACACACAGTACACAACTCCAGGGTTGTAACTACACACAGTACACAACTCCAGGGTTGTAACTACACACAGTACACAACTCCAGGGCTGTAACTACACACAGTACACAACTCCAGGGTTGTAACTACACACAGTACACAACTCCAGGGTTGTAACTACACACAGTACACAACTCCAGGGCTGTAACACAGTAGTGTACAGCC